AAAAATATATTATTCATTTTAAAATTCAATTATTTAAACTACATATTCCAAAAATTCTGGAATTGTACTATTATTTTAATGTTTTAATTATTAATAAAGAAAAATAATGTAAATAATGTAACCACAACCTTTTAAACTATATGAAAAATAATATAAAATACAAACGAACAAATATCACATTGCATTCTATCTTTCAAAAAATATATTTAATCGCGATAGGGTTATTTTTACAGAAGTATGCTAATTGCGTGAATACCTATAAGAAAGAATAGATATAGCATTAATGTAAAACTAAGCAAGGTACAATAATTATAAATAATCATTTAAACAATTAATTATAGAATCGATTGAACGTGTCTTGAATTATTTATGTGAATTTAATACTACGATAAATGAAATGAATCTAAGTGAATAAAATTTAAACAACAATTGCAACGTGTAATTAAATAATTAATTCAATRAATCKTTKYATTCACRTTACAATTTAATTAATGATGCAAGAAGTTAAAATTTTCTAATGCATCGAACGTCAGCCATTGGCCCGACAGTGCTTACGTTGTACCATATAAATTCTATGGACATCATAAGCAATATCGGTTACCGGATCTCACCACTGGGAGGTTGCTGCGTCGGAGATCCATATAGAAATTGATGCATTTATAAAATGAAAGAAAAGAAAGAAAGAAATATATCTGCATGTATGTATGCAGTAGTTTATAAAACGATTGATTAGTATGATTCCCATTGGAACGATAGTGAACGTCTTTCTGATATCATAAAAAGAATTGCATGTTAGTATATTAAAACATATACCAAGTATGTAATGTCAGTAAAAAAATATTAATTAAAATTCTTTAAAGTTGTTTAAATAAAACAGTAATTGTATCAGAGCAAACTTAATAAAGAGTAACATAAAAAATAATCAAGTTTTTAAACCATTCTATGCAATGAAAATCTTTTTAAACTATTAAAATCAAAACGATAAGGTTAGAAATAAAATTATTAAATAATTTAACACGTCTTATTTTCGTAGATGTTGTCTCGTTGAAGGATAGAAGACGAATACTAGATACGTTACTACGTAACCTTCGTAGAGGAGATCTCGGGAGTGTCGAACGTTCGGCTATTATACCTATGTTATCGGCTGTTTACGTTTTGTAGTCGAAAATTCGACAAAGAAAATTCCTCGAGAAATTCCTGGAAATATAAATACACATTTATAATAACGTGTATGTCGATGTATATTGTTTTCTTATTCTTCCTCTCTCTCTCTCTCACACTCACTCACTCACTCACTCTTTCTGTAGTATTTCTATATGCCAAATATACTTTAAAAAAATAAAAAATACTCACCTCAACGTATGTAGAGAAGATAAATTTGCCACAAAATAAAAAGGATAGATATGTGAATTCGTGCTGCAACTCTCCCAATGCTCAGAAAGCTAAAAAAGAAAGTAAAATATGAATACAATTACGTATAAAAATTTTGCGTGTAACTATCATTCGATATATAACAAGAAAGTGTACGTTAGAAAATTAATTGAAACAATTACCTGAAATTAACAGGATAACAAAATACGATGCAACAAATGTACAGATGACAGATTAAAAAATTTGAAAGATTCGCCATAATGCAGCACATAAAACCGGCGCGAAAATACTACTGCGCACTACTTCTTTTTTCCACCTATAATAAAGAAAAATTTCGAATGATTAAAAATACGATATAGGAGCATAAAAATTGTCGAAATATACTCAAAAAATCAAAATTGATCCTTACATCCTTTATATATTATAATAGGAAGGTGTAAACCTTACAAAATATCTTTTAATTACCTGATTTTAACGGGACGATGATACTCCGATGTGTTCTCCACGAATGACGCCATGAAACTAAAGAATTCGGACGAAAGACTGGCTGTGATTGGCTAATTCATTTTTTTGAACATGAAAAGGGTCATCACAGCTTCTTACACGGACAGCATCTGACCTTCTTCATGACCACGCTGGTCAAACTACATATGATAATTTATTTATTAAATAAATTAAAAATCATTTCTATTTTTCTAATAAATGTAYAYRWAACTTATAAATATTCTAAAAATAATGAATAAAATAAAAACAACATAGACATTAAAAAAACTTTGTCATTTCGCACAAAAGAATACAATCGTATAAAAGAGAATTGTCGATAGAAAAATGTCAAATATGAAATGCTGCATATGAAAGAATAAATTCCCAAAATCTGTATCGATAAAGAATCCTTACAATTGAAATACTTTCAGAGATGCATAAGATGTACATTGTTTTAAAAATATTTATAATAACGTTTATAAACGATTCACACGAAGATCATTTTACATAATTTTCTATGCTATGAGAGGTTACTACATTCTCTTTATTCTATTCATTATTTGTAAAATAATTATTAGTAACAAGTAAAAATTTAATTTGTAATCGAAAAAAGAAACATAAATTTATAACATATCCAAATTATTTTCTATTTAATGTACGTTAAAACATATGAAATGTTTAAACAAATGTATATGCATAGAAATAAACTGAAATGTTATTAAAGTATATTAGAATAATAAAATAATTGTTAATTAATCGAAAGAAGTGTGTATTGTTATTTAAAAGCACCTAGTATATGATCGAAGTACTGTTCTCTTCGAAATTCACCTTCAGGCTGACGGATTGTCCTCTGTCAAAATTCTTTTATTACATCTTGTCTATATGACTGTTTGTTGTTACAAATGTTGAAAATGGAAATAATATTTCACAAATAAAGGTAATTTGAAATTATAGCTATGCAAATGTATCATTTTTTACCTTCTATTGTTATTATTTTATGGCTCCTGTGCAATTATGATTAACTAGTTTTACACTGTCCTGTAATAAAAGAAGAATGTGTATTAGAATGATAAAATAATTGTTAATTAAAGAATGAAAGTGCCTATTTTTATTTAAAAGCTTTATTTAAAATCTATGTACCTTCCTTCTCGAGATTTATTTGGAGAACTGAGACATTGTCCTATTAAAAAAATCCTTTTTTTCAATATTGTTTACATTATTTTTCAAATGTTGTCCATATATGCAAAGCAACTAACATTCTAAATAAAGTAAATTTAATATTATAACAGTCTAATTTTTACATTTCTTTCACTTTTATGTAATTATTATTTTTATTAAATGCACATGTAACTTGTAAATATTACAAAAATAATGAAAAGAATAAAAATAATGCATAATAAAAACATAATCTTATTGTACACGAGAAAACAATCATGTAGAAGAGAAACTTTGTCAAAGAAATTTGTAAAACAATTGACAATCGCATGCCACCAGTGAAAAAATAAATCCCTATTATCTGTATTGATAAAACACGCCTTTATGATAGGCCTTTTCAGATTTCCAAAATAATCTGTAATTTTTCTTTTTCAAATTCGTTTCGAGTTTCTTTTTTCAATGGATAGCGGGTTGATACTTTCTTTGGTTTCTTCGCAAAGAAAGAATCTACTTCAGGGACCACCATAGATAGATCAACCCAAAATCATGGAAATTGTGTGTGTTTCAGCTTAAAAATCTTATCTTTCCCCTTCTGTTTTTTATTTTTTTAAATTTTTTAGTTACAGAATAAATTATGAAGAATATAAGTAAGTTCTTTTTTTTTACAGGTAGCATTTAATATCGTCTTTTTTTCTACAGGTATCATCTAAAATTGTATATATATTTATTTTTATTATGTATATCATATTTTAGGTACATTAAAAATTATTAAATATAGAATATTTATAACTTGTAATTTCTCGTATATACATATATTGAAATTATTCTAGGGTGTGTTACTTTTAAGTAACATCGATGATTGTATTGAAATTCTATTCAGGTTGCATTCTTCGTTTGTCATTTTTTTTTTTTTGAGTAGTCGAACTTTTCTCTGGTATTCTTGATAATAATTCTAAGGATTACCATTAATATTATAATGATTATATATTATAGTTTTTTATTTTCATTACCGTCTACTGGTCATCGTCATCCTAAGGGTAGGAAACCCATCGGACATTTATCACCAAGGACTGCAAGTTCTGACATCTGAGAATATCTGACATAAATGCATAATCGAAAGATAAAACAGAAATCTACATATTTTAAGATATTTTTCTTATTATGAGTAGCATAAATATTTTATTGGAAACATTAATTTATTATTATTTTATTTTAATTACGATGTAATCATTTTTATTATTGTTATAGTCTCGAAAAAATTTTCTTGTAAATTTAATATAAAACTTATCTATCGAGTAATGGTATTTGCATTGTAATTTAATTCAATACTCGTACGAGTAATATTTATTTGAATTAAAAAAAGAGATATAAAATTAAAAAAAAATATGAATAGTTAGAAAATAATCGTATTCTTGTTAATTGAAACTAATTAAAAATATAATATCAATATTTTTTTTCATGTTTCCCGCGAAAAATCTTATTTCCTAATAAAGGTGAACTGAGACGCAGATAACTTCAGATAGATCATATGTTATATATTACGATCAAAGTAACCTTGTTAAATGTTAAAATTTTGATTAAATGTGTAAATCGTTTAGAGTTAATGAAATATTATGTGAAACTTTAAACTCTACAAATTTGTATTAATTTAAACAATTGTTATTAGTTCAAAAAAAAAAAAGATAGTGATTATTAACAACACTATTACTTATAAAAGAAATCTACTACTTGTGCATTTAACCGTATAAAGTATATTATTATCAAACATGTATAGAAAACAAAGTAATTATTATAATAGTTAAACAAATCTAAAATAATATAAATTTAATCTCTCAAAAAATGAAATGAAAATGTATCTATTTGAAGAATATGCGTGCGATTGATTAAGAAAATTTTTAATGGTTACACTGACAGGACCTAACTTGACAAGACCTAACTTGATGGTAGTGAGGTGAAACTAGGTTCATAAAGTAGAGTTATTTAAATAAATTTAAAGAAATATCATTTCATAAAAGTAAAACTTGACAGGATGGAAGCTCATGAAAATGAACAATATGTTAACTTTCCACTATCTGGAGTGCATGATAATATTCAAGAAAATATAATATCTCACGAAGAGATATGTGAACCTGTTGATGATTGCGTACTCCAAGATAATTTAACAGAGGGTCCTGTTAATGATGTTAATACTGATATACAAGAAGGACATGTCGCTGTGGAAATCTTACCAGAGAGATCAGACGAAGAGGATGAAAACCGTAGCGTTTATCCAATATATATCAAACAAGAGGAACAACAACAATATACTTCTGGTGATGATGAATCAATGGCTGTGGAAGCGCTTCGTCAATTGGGTGGAATGTATCCATATTTTGAAAATAAAAAAGTCACTTGTCCCAATTGCGCCAATCTGTTTATGCAAAGTGAATTTGCTAAACATCAGTCTACGTGTAATGTCAGTAAGTTATCATGTACAACTTGTGGAGAAACATTTGAAAGAAAAATGGATTTAAATAATCATATGGTTTGTCATCAAGTAGATCGACCACATGCATGTAGAACATGCGGTAATTTGTTTCGTTCCAAAAGCAATCTTCAATCGCATATGTTACAAGTTCATCAAATTGAAAGACCACATAAATGTACTATTTGTGGTGCTGATTTTCAAAGACCTTCTAGCTTATCTAATCATATGAAAATACATACTTATGTAGCTGGCCGTGCTATAATGCAATCGAGAGGTAATAACATACAACAGTCAGTGGAGACAACTAGAAAGTGGTCGGAAAATAATACGTCTGAATCACAAGCTGTCCCTGTACCATCCTCTACCGTTCAAATTGTTCAAAATTATAATACCTGTCAAGTTCATTGGACTGTTCCTTCCTTTACTTTTCAAAACGAACAATCTAACGTTGCTACAATTTCTAATCATGATGAAAAAATGGATACATTGCACGAGTTTAATGTATTACCTAATGGTGAAGTAACACAATTCGAATATAATCAGCCAAATAATATAAATAATCAAATCAATCAGCAATATAATTTAGCTCCCAATGCATTCAATAATTCGGATGGTATGATCAAAGTTGAGGCACTTACGTATAACAATGAAAGTAGAAGAAATTACGTAGATATGGGAACAGATGTTAACAAACAACACACATGTAGTCATTGCGGTATTAGTTTTTCAAAAGCAGTGGCATTGGCATCTCATGAAAAGGTTCATACATCTAAAAACTGGATGCCTATTGAATGTGAATATTGCGATAAACAATTTCAAGATGCAAGTCATTTGGCAACTCATCAAACTACTTGCACCAAAAAAATGATGCAAAATAATATAGATCAAGGTGTATCAAATAGCAAATGGGGGAAACATGCTTGCTCGGAATGTGGGAAGAAATTTACAACCAAGCAGAAAATGTTTAGACATCAATGGATACATAGAAAGAAAACACATTGTTGCGAAGTTTGTGGAACACAGTTTGAAAAACAAAATCAATTAGATAAGCATAGATTATCTGCTCATCCTGGTGACTCGCCATTCACTTGTACAGAATGTGGAAAAAGTTTTGTATCACGTCAAGGTCTTTGGGAGCATGGCAGAACTCATGCTGGAAGTCCAGCGTATTTTCATTGCAATACCTGTTCAAAAACTTTCTCCTCTCGTCAAGGATATTTAATTCATAATCGTACTCATACCGGCGAAAGACCATATGGTTGTAAATTTTGTTGGAAAGCATTTAGAGATGGTGGTACATTAAGAAAACACGAACGAATTCACACAGGAGAAAGGCCACATGTATGTCCTTTATGTTCAAGAGCTTTTAATCAGAAAGTAGTTCTTCGTGAACATGTTAGATGGGTACATGCTGCAGGAAAAAATGAAACCGAAGTTACAGGACCGCCTTATCCATGTCCTTTGTGCGGTGCTTTGAATCAAGATCGTGATGAATTGTGCGCACACATTGTTAAACACTCTGATCAAATGATAGCCGAAGCTAAAGCAAAAACAAATAATAATGCTCCTAAATCACGACCTACGAGAAAAAAATCTAAAGCATCTTTAGTAGAAGGTGCACAAAAGAAACAAAATATAGATGATCATGAAATTTCAAGATTAGAACAAAATAAAGCTTTACTGTCTATTACTGAAGCAATGGATAAATCAGATTGTCAACAAATTGTAAATAATAAACAAAATAATACTTATCTCGTAGTTACTGCAGAAAGGCATAGTGAAAACTTAATTACGATATCTGAACTTAAACATGATAATGTAAGATTAATATTAGACAACAAACAAAATGAAAATGTTCATATTACACAAAATGATCAAGAACCTGCTGATTCTTATTTAATAACTATGGAAAAACAAAATGACACTGCGCATATTTTACAAGATAATGATGCTATTCATACGATAACTACAAATAGAAGCGATGAAGTTGATACAATGCATTTAATACAATCCTCCAAACAAAGTAATACCTTACATTTATTATCAAAGCCGAACCAATCACTTCCTGTTTTGACAATAACTAATAATCCTGAAGATCATGAAAATTATTCTAGTCAAATTGCACAGATGGGTAATACCAATCTACCAATAGATATGGCTACGCATGATACATCTAGACAAGATCAGACATTAAAAAATCATAATCGCAATAGACAGGAATCGTTACTACACGAAGGAGTTTCTCAAGGAACAGTTATAGAAATTGTTAATTATCAACAAGATAGTGATGATGGAGAAGAATTAGTTTGTGGTATATGCGGGGAAGATTTTACTGATAAAAACATATTAATGGAACACGTTAAAACTCATATGTAATTTCCAAATATTTTTATTTTACAAAAGAAGAAACTTACAAAAAATCGGATTTTTTAAATTATATATATATATATATATATATACATATATCAAATTATATAAATAGTAGCATCCGCGCTACACTCTTTTTTTAATGAATTTTAAAAAAGTATACTGTTTTAAATAATTTGTATAAAAGTCTCTTTGTGATCTTACATTTAAATATATATATATATTTAATAATAAATAAATATATATATATATATATTTGGAAAAAGTTTTGTATCACGTCGAGGTCTATTAGATATATATATATATATATATATGTGTATATAAATATTTCTATATACAAAAAAGACAACTATAATGGAATTATTCCAAGTAATATGTATATATTAAAGGTAATAGAGTACAGTTTTTATTATATAAAACTTATAAATAATATAAGTGTAAATAAAGACTTATTAAAGGCATTTATAATGTACAACATGACAAAGACAAAAATAAAATTGCCTTTTATTTTAGATAATAATTAAACAATTGTTTTAATATCACATTTGTTATATCAAATACTTGGAAAATGTAGATTGTTGAAAAATTAAATTCAAATTTAGCGCCATTCGTATGAAGTGAAATAATAGCATTCAGGTCACGTGACCTATCAGATAGAAATAAAACAAAATGACCACATGTATGTGCGCGCGTAATTGTCTTTTAATTTGTATTATAATTATTTGTGATACGATATGTTAATTATTCATAATTTTTACATTTAAGTAAAATATATTCTTTTTCATAGTTTTATTGGATGTTAGTTTTACATTTATGTAAGTATATGTGTATATTTCGAGAGTTTACCGGCTAGTATATAATCATGTTCTTTCTATCGTAACATAGAATTTATTTACGATATAATAATTAATTAAACGTATCAAAGTGTGATTGAAATATTTTATTTAACAGGATTATTGACATATTATTGTTGTTTAACTCACAAAATTTATGCGACGTGATAAAAGGTGCATCAAATTTTGAGGCTAGAATTGGAGGTTATATTCATTGATGAGGTAAGACATTTGATTATATATATATATACATAATATTAATAAATTTATTTACATTATTAATATAATTGCAAATGTGTAAGATTTCCATATGTCTATGAAAATTAATTGTGTGTACAGTGTACTTAATCGAGAAAGAAATATGCCTACTTGGAATCAGATTCAAGCTCAGCTACGCAATCCAAATAATCCAGTTGTATTTTTTGATGTATCAGTGGGTACAAATGAAATTGGTCGTATGATATTCGAGCTTTTCGAAGATGTATGTCCAAAGACTTCAGAAAACTTTCGACAATTTTGTACAGGAGAGTATAGAAAGGATGGTGTACCATTAGGATTCAAAGGTGCTATATTTCATAGGGTGATCAAAGACTTTATGATACAAGGAGGAGATTTTGTAAATGGTGATGGTACAGGAGTAATCAGCATCTATGGTGGAGGAACTTTTCCTGATGAAAACTTTACCTTGAAACACGACTCACCTGGATTACTTTCGATGGCGAATAGTGGAAAGGATACCAATGGTTGTCAATTTTTTATTACATGTGCTAAGTGTAATTTTCTAGATGGGAAGCATGTAGTTTTTGGAAGAGTAATTGATGGTTTATTGGTCATGAGAAAAGTAGAAAATGTTCCTACAGGACCAAATAACAAACCGAAGATACCTGTAACAATATCGCAGTGTGGTCAAATGTAGAGTAAGCTTTTTCTATTATTTATAAGGAATATTATATCTATAATAGATTTAATATTAACGATTAAAAAAGAAGTAAATAGTTTTATGATATATAAAACTAAAGGATACGTAATATATTTTAATACAATTGATATAAATTTAAATCTGCATCTTTATTATTACCTTTAATATTACTGAACTATATTGCACATGTTGCCTATGGCTATTGCGTAATATCCAATCTCAATAAATTATTAATTATAATCGGTTAATTAAAAAGATTTAAGTAATCTTTAATATTAGAGTTAATTTAAATTTTATTATTTATTTTAAAAAAGTAATTAGTTTTCTTGCTAATTATGACTTACAGTATAGGAGTAAATTTGAATTAATAAAATGATTAATATTACGTAGTGAAAAATGTTTTTATTTTTATTTTTTGTACGTACAATATTCATATTTACTGTATGATTTGTAAATTATAATCGTGCAAAGAGATATTTATGTGAACTACTTTTTTATTTCAATTATAATACAGCAGATATTATTTATCATTTATTATTAATTCATAGTTATAGAAATAAAACTCAGGACATCTTTAAATCTCATTGCAAATAATATTTTTATTTTAATTTTTCTTAATCTTATATTTAATAATAAATTAATATTTTAACAGTAATAAAATATGCATATTTATTAACTAGAAATGTTTTCGTCTTTGTTGTTACTCTTGTTATTTTAAATAAGTAATCGGCATAATAAATTATTTAAATAACAAATTTTGCAACATACGTATAAATATGTTTGACTACTTAATAGATAATTTACATTCATACCGTCAACTAACATATTTCTATAATTTTCTATATTCAATATACAGAGTTATCCTGTAACTAGTGGTACAAATAAAAGAAAATGTTTTTATATAAAAAACTAACTTGAAGATGTAGTAGTACACGTGTATTTAACAAATTTTCCAACTTACTTTTCTCAAAAACAAAGTCTTGTATAAAAGAATTTTATTTTTTGTCGACTTAGTTTTTCATGTAAAATTACCCCTTGCTTATTTGTACCATCAGTTACAGAAAACCTTGTACATATATTTTTTACCATTTATATAAAATTTGTTAATTAAAGTTAATTTTGCATATAGAAAATTATTACGATCCTTGCATACAATGGCAGTCGTTAGTTGCCTGTTTATACACATCATTATTCGATCTTTACGCGTATGCATAATTACATAGTATCTAACTTGGATAAATTGATATGATTCTTAACTATTACATAAAAGTTTTACAGTTTTAAATATATATATATATACGGTGCATTTGAAAAGTTCCAAGTACTAAAACAAGAAATAAATTCGTAACTTTATTTTTTAGGCACCATTATCCTCAAATATAGATTCTACTTGTTTTATGTAAGTAAATTAAAACCAAGTTTTGTTCGTACATACAAACTACGATAATGTACATACATTACATAATAATACAAGCAGATCGATTATGTCAATTCGATATTATCAGTGTATGCATATTTTATATAGTTATAAATGTTAGAATATTTTCTACCTTTCCGCTTAAGTTTGAATAATTTCTTATGTAACAAGGTTGATGATATTCGAACACTTATATGCTTACATTTTTCAATGCTCTATTAGATTTTGATCAAAAACGTATCAGTCTAATCTTAATCTTAATCTTAATCGTTGAAATTCTAGGACACACTTTATAAATTCTATATTTCCAATGTACCTTACTTTAGAAAATGATTAGAAGCTCACGGTAAGGATAACAGTTGATTTCTTTTCTTAGGTACCGTGAGCTCAGTTGCGGTCTACCTACTGTTGCAGAAGACATTTTCTTCAATGCTATCAACTTCTTGCGCTTGATCATCTACAACCATAATGGGTGTTGCACCATCGTGAAGACTCGACTTTGATTTTGATCTTTTGTAGACATCTCTGGTAACACTTCTGGTGAAGCTAAACTTTCTTACAAGTTTCTTATCTAATGCAGCAGGACTCTTAGGACCTTTAGCCCTGAATTCATCTTCGGTACCTTGATAGTGTGCCAATAAGACTTCTGTTGCATGCTCTTCGATAACTTCAATGGCATAGTCAATATCTTCTTCCGTTGCATTCTCTTTGACAACACAAAATCTCAATATATACTTACCCATTACCCTAGCAGGAATCATATGTAATCTTCCAGATGCATTGATATTCGCTAAGAGTTCTTGATTGATCTCATCTGATTCTTTCAATCGAAAACATACCAGACCGACGCGTACATCGTTCATTATTTCAAATCTTCTATCTTTTTTCATAAGAGCTTCGAATCTTCTTGCTAATCTAATATGATTCCTTATATATTTTTGCAGCCCAGTTATACCATAAGTTCTCATGACAAACCAAAGTTTCAAAGCTCTGAATCTTCTGCTCAGTGGTATACCCCAATGACGATAATCAATAGATTCACCTGATCTAGCGTGTTGAAGGTAAAGAGGATCCACAACCAAAGCGGATGTCAATTTTACTCTATTTTTAACCCATAAACACGAACAATCAAAATTAACTAATAACCATTTATTAGGATTCGTATTAAAGGAATCAGCATGTTCGATTCCAGCCATGAAAGGTCTCATCTCTGGACAAATAAATGAGTTACCAGCGTAAGCACCATCCACGTGTAACCAAATACTAGAATAAAGCTTACAAACTGGTCCAATTTCAACGAGATTATCGAAAGAACACGATCCAGTTGTACCCAACGTAGTGGATACAAAGAATGGTACCAAACCATTAGCCACGTCTTCTTTAATCGCTGTTTCCAGTCTTTTACCACGAAGAGAAGCTTTGTCATCTGGCTGAAGAACTCTTAATTTGACTAAACTTATCATTGCTGCTTTCTCCACACAAGAATGAGCTTCAGTCGAGCAATAAGCAACCAATCTTGGTAAGAAAGCTGAGTCTTCCAGGTCTGGTTCTTGTTCTTTCAGTAATCTTATAGCATGAGTTCGAGCAGCTAGCATTGTCACTAAAATGCACTCGGATGCTGAACCTTGAATAACTCCGCCACCTTTAGATGTCTTCTCTTCTGATAAGAATTCTCGTGGTAGATCAATAGCTTTAGCGTACCAATCGAGAACAATAGTCTCCAATTCTGTACAAGCGGGACTGGATGCCCAAGAAAAACCGATGCAACCTATTCCATCTGATAACATGTCAGCTAAGATAGATGGGAAGGAATTGCCTGATGGAAAATATGCGTGAAATCTTGGATGTTGCCAATGCGTAATCTGAAAATATATAAATATTTATATATATTTGATAATTATTATTATTATTTAATATTAATATATTTTTATTTTTGTATATCATCAACTTTAAGTTAATACGGTTAATGTTCTAATTATATGAAAGTTCCAAGTAATTTTTTAAAATCGATTTTCACGTCGTCTCGACCATCATTGTGAGCAATCGTGCGTTACATAGACTTTTAATCTTGTTTTTTTTTCTTATATATATATATATATTATATATATGTATACCATATGTGTGTGTGTATATATACTCACAGATACATGTATTAGCGGGTGTTATTTTTCTATTTTATTTTATTATTTCTTTCTTTTTTTTTTTTCCTACACATTATAATACTTGAACGAACTATAGAAGGTATATGTGAGTTTGTATTTTTGAAACGCAGTTTGGATCACTTGAGTGAACATAAAAAAACATCCGTTAAAGTGGATGTAATATTATTTTAGACAAGAGCATACTTTTGTCAAAGTTTCTCTAACATACGCACACACATATTTATTTGCGTTATTATATATTGCGTTATATAAAAAAGAAGAAAAAAGAAAAAAAGAAAATTATAATTAGAATGAACGGTGGTGGGGGGGAGGGGTAATCGATCGATCAAATTTATCAGATAAAATCGATACTTACACCGGGCATTATTTTCCCTTCGACGTCTTTCATAATGGCATCCCATGATTCGGGTTTAGCTGGTGCCTCGTTTGGCAAAAGGGGTCGCAAATATCCTGGATCAACATTTGCAGTGACTCTTCTACCTTCCAAAGTACGAAAATACTCGGATATATACTCGACCATCTCCTTTCCACGTACTTGAAACTCGTCGATGTTCATGATAAGCCAATTTACTAAAATATATTTTTTTTAATTTTATTATTATATGTATGTTTAATGAAAGTATGAATGTTTTTGATTAGGCACGATTTCAAGAAACGTGTCTTATTTAATATTTTCTATCAGTAATTACGTAAAAAAAAGAATGTCGCTTTTATTTTATTTGATTCCAAAAATAGAAATATTATTTAACAAAAGTTTATTATATTTTTACATATTCGTATCAATCGTTGGACTTTTAATGTATTGTTATTCGTTATAATTCCGAAAGTGAAACAATTGATCTATTTATTATTATTATTATTTTTTTTAATTTCCTTCACATTCAAACACATATTTTCTTTGATATTATTTAAAACAAATTGTTAACGATCTAAATTTGATATTAATCGTTACCTAGTACCGGCATATTTTTCTTTCAAACACAAAAAAAAATGAATATTAACACATTGCCTATAAAATTGCATTTAGTTTTTAACAGCTTACTCACAATGTTCTTAATATTACATTAAAAATGTCCACCAATATAAAAATGTTCTTTAAATTTTAATCAAAATATTCTGAATATTTCATAAATAAATTTTATTTTGTTTTTCTTTTTTTTTTAAAAGAATTCACTCCCGCGTTTTACGTACATGAAATGTTAGAAAGAGTAAAAATTGTAAAAAAAAACATAAAAGAAGATAAAATATATAGATCAAATGATACGTAATATTTAAAAATATAATAATTTAGTGTGTGATATGAATAAAAAGTCACTAACTTTTTTAGCGAAGAATTTATAGAAAATAAAAGTCCGATCTCGTTCTAATGTTTAACGTGACTTGCGTCAAACTCGATGAGAAACTGTAGCATCAGCCAAAGCGCCGGTCACTTTTATTGACACTATCACTTTTGCACGTCCCTTCTTCTCTTCGTCATGTTGTTGGTTACTTTGGTTTACGATATAGACTCGAGAAAATCACATTTTTTCATTCATTTACGTCACCACTTTGCGGGTTTTGTCCATTACGTTTCAGGAAACATAAGATTAATTTTTATGGTGACAATTATTCTTTTCACATTTCTTTGTAAATTTTTTTTTATAAGAATAAGGAGACTTTAACGATATGTTTAAAAAAAAAAAATTGTCACTATATTTCTACCTCTCTTTTTTTTTTTTTATCTGCAATTATCATTTGTAGAAAAAAAAGCATTGTTTAAGTAGTTCAGGGTTAATGAGAAAAATGATTATACCGGAACAACTAAATGAAGTACAATTTTTGCGAATTTTTCCTTACGGAATTTACTCGATAAATATGTCTCAATGGTATTTTTATTTCCGATTCTTCGAACTTCTTAAGGATAATCGATTTATAGTTTTATACAATTTAATGAAACTATTTCCGAAATTATTATCATCCTCTTTTTATTTGAATTATTCACATTTATTTGTAGAAGGAGGATATATTTCATGTATAATTGTTCGATTTTTATTTTTTTTTTTGGCCATTTTATCGCACGAAAAGTGTATACAAAGTTATTATCAATGTTGCAATATTATTTGTCCTTAAAAAAAGAGCGTATTCCAAAATACTAAAGTACTTATGATAAAGGTACATAAATCATTAGTATTATCATTTTGTTAAAATATGGTATTTATTTTCAAATTAACTTTCAATATTTTTCAAGGCTTTTTTTAAGAGCTTTTTTACACACGCAATAAAACATATATGAAATAAAATGTAATATATATATTTGAAATATTTTTATATCGTAGAATTTTTCAATATTTTATTCTATATTAAAGAAATATATTTACATTTTATTTTACATTTGTTATAGAGATATTCATTTGCATTTATTTCATAGTATATTTTTTTTTTGCAGATATACATATACACTTTTATATGTGTATGTGGGGAGTATCAATGGCTTATGGCAACGTGATGGGGTCGGTGCTTGAATAAACGAGCACATAGTCTTTCGATGTTGCACAGGGAGTAAATTCAACCCCCCACCCTTAACGCGCTTTCCGTTGTTTATTAATAGATATTTACTCTTCACCTACATTTACAACACACCCTATAGAAACGGTGACAGGTCACCGCTCAATCTTTGTAACATATAAACACAGAGACAAGGCAGACTCCATTTTCTCAACATCACCTTCACGCATGGTCTCCTTGCATTCGACGTTTTTTTCAATTGGATTTCCAACGAACTAATAGGAACTGTACAAATGAAATCATTCTTTTAGATCTGGAAATATTCTACACTCTTCTGTTCCTTTTTTTATTATTATTTTATTCATTTTTCTTTCCTAAATAGGTTTATATACAGAAGTCGATCGAACGGATTTTATTGTCAATGTTAGGAGACGGAGAATAAACTAAATTTAAGGAGAGGAAAATATGATAATTGTAGATATCGGAATGATATTGTTTAATTAATCCATTGGCAAAGAATTCTTTACATTTGTTTTATAGGCAGTATTGATATTAAAATGAACAGATAAATTTAACAACAATTCAATCATTATTTCTTTTCAAACCGAGTCATTATTTATATTTTGAAGTACACATAATTAAAAGAGAAATTTTTTTTACAAGATTTTCTAATCATTATACTTGTAATTATTACGTTCTGCCATTAGGTGATCTTCCACGAGATGGTGAAGCTGTAGGCGATGGTTCTGGACTACATCCATTGCTGCTACCGCGTCTACTTCCAGCACCACTTGCTTTCAATCTTACCATTGTATCCAAATGTCGGAATCTTAAGGATAACTCGCTTGTATCAGTACCATCTCTTGCGTGCTTCAAATATGCCAGTGGCCAAGATATCCATGAACGTCTACAATTGTATTCAAATAATATTACAGTATTAGTTTACATACACACACACACATAAACATGTTCAAAAGATATTTATTTAAATGATAAATTAATATTTACGTTCCAGTTTGGGAGTTAGTTCCAATACCACCAATCGTTGCTTGAGTATCAAGTTTTGCTCCGGTTCTATTTGGTGTTTTAGTAAACCCAGGTTGTATAGCAGGATCAGACACCATACGAACGAAAAAGGATCGTCTTTGTTCTAACGTAGCTTTACGTTTCTTCTCACGAATATCAGCTAACTCATCCATCACATCCTACAAGAAGATTTGATTGACATGATTTCAAAATCAAGACGATGTAATTAAATAATCAATAATTTCATTTTTATTTTGTACCTTAGATTCTAGCAATTCTGCCAAGTAGTCTGTTATAATGGACCAAGCTATATCTGTGACAATAAATAATTTATTTATTTGTTTGTCTCAAGAATCTTAAGTTTTTAACTTACCAATGTCATCGGCAGATGCATTTGGTGCAGCAAGAGCAAAGCGAATTGTATAACGTTGATTAACACGTGCCGGTACCATGTGTATCTTTCCTGAATCGTTAATACTACTCAGAAGTTTTTGATTAAGTTTATCGGAACCTTTAGCACGGAAACATACTAGACCTAACTATTAAAAATGATATAAAATGAATTTCTTTTATTTTAGGAAATATATGTTTAAAATGAGAAATATATTTCTCACCACAACGTCATTGCATATCTCAAATCTTGAGTCCTTCCTCACCAAGGCTTCAAATCTCTTTGCAAGTTGACAATGATTGCGAACGTATGCTTGTAACCCTGATATACCATAGTTTCTCATAACAAACCATAGTTTTAATGAACGAAATCGTCTACTTAATGGTATACTCCAATGTCTGAAAAGAAATTTATTTCAAAATTATTAATATGAAAATAACAAATCAATTGGAAAGATTATTGATTGAAATCTGATCGAGACCTGTAATCTATCGCAGTATCAGCATGCGTATGCTGAAGATAAAGCGGATCAACAACTAGTGCACTTGTTAATTTGAATCTGTCTTTTACCCAAAGACAAGAACAATCAAAGTTAGTTAATAAGAATTTATTTGTATTGGTGTTAAATGAATCTGCATATTCGATTCCAGCCATTAAATATTTTAATTCTGGACAGATGAAAGCGTTCCCTGCATATGCTGCATCAACGTGTAACCAAATCTGTAAATGAAAATTATTTATTATTCAAAATTAAATGCGAATGAAGATAATAATAATAATTAATTATTTACTCCAGGATATTTTTTACAAATCGGTCCAATTTCTTTCAAATTGTCAAAGGAACAACAAGCAGTGGTGCCAAGGGTTGTAGAAACAAAAAAGGGAACCAAACCTTCTGCTAGATCAGCTTCGATAGCCTGTAATATTTTATGGTGAATATTATTTTGAAGAGTACAAATAATTGTTAGAAAATACCTGTCTTAATGTTTCACCACGTAGTACGCTCTTTTCATCAGGTTCTAGGATTCTTAATTTAACAAAGGAAATCATAGCATCTTTTTCAACAGAACTATGACTTTCTCTACTGCAATAGGCCATTAATTTTCCTAATAATACAGTCTCATCTAAATGTGTATGACCTGGCGATTCTTTTAATCTTGCAATAGCTTGAGCTCTTGCAGCTAACATGCATACCAAAATGCATTCCGAAGCAGAACCCTTTAAAATTTCATACAATTTATAAGTATATTTCTTTTATTTATTAATAAGATTATTCTTTACCTGTATGACACCTCCACCTTTACTACCCTCGCTAAAATAGAGGAAATCTTTTGGCAACCCAATGGCCTTACCTGCAATTTTAATATCAAATTATTATATTTGAAATTTATCGTGTTGTAATGTTAAATGTAAATGAATAATTACCGAACCAATCACAAACTATTGTTTCTAATTCCGTGCAAGCTGGACTGGAAGCCTAAAATAAAATAATAATAATATATTATTATATAAATAATAAAAGAATTTATATGAAAGATCATTCATCAAATAATATCTGACATATCAAATCACAAAATACATTATATATAAAAAGTATCATCCTATAACAAATAATAATTTCCTTCTTCTGACAACTAGATGATCGATCGATCATTTCTACCCTTCAGCTATATAGATTATTAAATGACAATTCATTTTCTTCTATCTCCTTAAATCAATGTAATAATAAAATTTGATTTAGAATTTATTTTCAATTAAAAATCTTAATGTGATTGATCGATTTATTGATAATAACTGACCCAAGAAAAACCGATACATCCAATCGCATCTGATAACATGTCACCAAGAATCGATGGAAAAGAATTTCCTGCTGGGAAGTATGCGTGAAATCTTGGATGTTGCCAGAGTGTGATCTATAACACACATAAATAAACAATTATTTTTAATTGTTTTAATTTACATCATTTACGTGATTCATATAAATCCTTGTTATCTATTTTAATCAAATGTCTTTAACAAGAATTTGTTTGTTTTTTTTTTAAATTAATTTGCATCCAACACGTGAATTTACGCAAATCATGTTTTCTATTTTTACATAATTCTTTTTTTAGTATTTGTTTATGAAAATAAGTAATGGGATATATATTTAACTCACTCCAGGCATAATTTTAGATTCAACATCCTTCATAATATCTTCCCACGCTTCAGGCTGTTGAGGTGGTTCTGAAGGTAACAACGGTTTCAAGTATCCAGGACCAATATCTGGTGTTACTCTTCTTTTATGAATGTTATTCATAAAATCGCATATATATTCGACCATTTCTTTGCCACGAATTCGAAATTCTTCGACGTCCATTTTTTCGAAAGAAGAAAACAAGAAAATATTAATGAAAAATCTACGAATCGATCAGAACAATTCTTTCCAACAGGTAATAATAATAATTATTTAAACGCACAGATGAACACACATATAAATTTATAATACCACATACACAACAAATATAGATCACTTTGATTTTAATTCACAATATTCTTTTTTTATTTCAGATAGATCGATATGGTGGTCTCCTACTTGTTGAATGAAATAAGATAACACAAAACTTTGTTAATTGATAGATAAATAGATAAATTAGTACAGAAATAGAGAAAGAGGGAAATATAAGAATTTATGGTGAAACGAGGAACGATCGAACAATACAAACTTTCGCCGATCATCTTGGTCGTATATATAAGCGCGAGGGGGTGCTATAATTTCGTTATTCACCCCCTAAGAGTCATGCGCAATCGCAAGGGATGATTTTATTTCTATTCAACTTCATCGTTCATTTCTACCTATTATCAAAGATTTCTGATTTAGGGTAATTCGATATCATTTTCGTTTGTTTAATTATCGTGTCAGACGCGTGATTGTTTAAAAAAAATATTGTTTGAATTATTTTTAACTAATTTGTTTTATTTTTAGTTTTTATCACAATAGGATTGATTATTATTCCCGACAATATGTAGGAGTGGAAAAATCTAATTTCTCTTTTGTAATTTGTATAATTAATAATTGTTTTGTAGGATTAATTGATGGAAATACAAAAGCTTGATGTCAATACGAAAATTTATGTGAAGGATGACAATTGTTTGAAGTAATAATAATAATTATTATTAATAATAACATTATTATAATATTAATATCAAGAATAATAGACGTATTTTGTATATTAATTTTAATAGTAAATAATTATTGAAAATCGAATAGAAGAAAAATGATTTTCCTTCTATTTCTCATCTTTTTTTTCAAGTGTACAAGAAAATATCGTTGCAATACTCGAAGACGAAGCCGAAGACGAGGATGAAGAAAAAGGAGAACCACTTGGAATAAATTGCTTGCAACGTACACATCTTCCAAAGTACATTTAGATGAATGGAAGAAAAGAGAAGGTGGTAAAGACATGTTTAAAAAGATGTCATCACCAGAAAACATCTTCTGATATTCTTAATAGAAATTTAATAATAATAATAGTATTGGGTGTAATTGGGGTAGGTTAACAGGTGTTGTAAAGTGTTGAGGGATGATGGAAGAAGGAAAGCAATTAAAACTCTTTTTGTTGATTTATCTTATACGACCTACGTTCTTTTTATTTTCAATCAAAAATTACAATGATCGTATCACGTTTCTGTAAAATTATCATGTCAATTCATTTCAATCTAATTACAGAAAAATACAATTGTATAAATTTATGAAAAAGAAAAGGAAGAAGGGAAGGTTTAATAGTTCAAATAGTACAAAGTACGTTCCCCTTATATTTTTTGTTGGGGTTCTTTTTATTATTCTTTTTTTATCTAGACTCGAAATGTCATCCTTTAGATATAAAAAGCTTTTCATAATAATGGAATGCAGGCAAGAGGCGCCTAGGGGGGTGTTTAATAATGCAATATGCCGTCGAAGTCATGACGCTATGCCGACTATGCCGCATACCAAGAACATATTGGTATACACCTACGCTTTCAACCCCCAACACCTACAACCCTCTCAATGAACCTTTCCTTTACCCCCTCTAATCTTATATCCTTCTACCTAACAGCCATCAAAATCCTATCGTGGGCTAGAATGCTGATTGGAAAATATTGATGGGGAAGACTGTCTTCACCATTATTTCTCTTTCGGTCAATCTAACTTTCATTTTTTTAAATAATATAATTTATAATATCCAACCACACGTGTTGAATTACTAAAATTAAACAATGTTGATATGGTTAATAAAATGAACAGGTATATTTTATTTAAATTATTTGTTTTTAATAAAAATAAACACAAATTTGTATTTTAATTCATTCAAAATAGATCATTTTATTGATTCAAATAATATCGATTGTAAATCGATCGAAAAAATATCGATATTCATAGATCGATAAAAATCGATGTTTTAAATGACAAAACATTTCGATGTTATTGTATTTTTTAACCTAAGTTTACAAATATTTTACGTTATTGACTTGATTATTTTATAAAGTGATAATTATTATAGAAATATTTTTATTATTATAGAAAACCATTTCGAGTTTTCCCATTAACGAGACTCATCGTTACTGTGAACCCCTGACCCAGTAAAATAAAAAGAAAAAGAGACAGAGGTAAATGAGATGGCACGTATTTCAAGACTTCGACTTCTTCGTTGTTCTAAATACTTCGAATATTTTTCAATCAATTTTTCAATATTATATATATATATATAAATATATTTATAGGATTCGTAAAATATTTTTCTCTCTCTCATTTTTGTTCTTTTTCAGATAACTAAATCGGAAAGCCCCTTTGTTTTCTATTTTCCAAGCAGCAGACTCTACAACAATTCAACTATTCAAAGTTCCTCATGTCAAGTTTGAATTTTCATTAGAAAATGTTTAATTCATTTATTAATGCAACACGCGTAGTAAAGTTCGTACGAGGAATATAAATTACAAGGGTGCGTGCGTGATTCGTTTGTAAAAAAAAAAATATCAAAATATATTTTTAAAAAGGATTAATTTATTTCATTTAATTCTATTTGTTTACAAATGGGGAGATCTAAGAGAAGAAGAAATGCAGAGATATCGCAAAGATTAAATGAGGATAAAAATTATGTTGAAAATAAAGATTTACCATTTACCAAATTAAATGACAAATATATTTTAATGCATGTAAGTATTAATTTATTATTTATTATCTGTTATTTCATACAATTGATTAAACATGTTCATTTTTGTAGGTTAACAGTGGTACAAAGAAAGAAAATGTCTTGAGGTATGCATTAGAGGAATTTCCAAAGTTTACAAATATTATTTGGCATGGTGTTGGTCAAGCTGTTTATAAAGTTATTTCTTGTATTGAAATTTTTAAAGTTAAGTATCCAGGATTACATCAAATAAATAAATTACGTTACGTTCTGTAAGTATATAAATAATAATAATATAAACATCAAATTTAAAATATAACTTATTATTTTATTTATAATGATATTATATGATTTATTTGTTTTTTTTTTTTTTTTTTAGATCAAACAACAAGAATGGAGGTGATCGTTTTGTTCCAGAAATTCATATCTTGTTATCTAAAGAAGCTCAAGATACTACAGAACTTGGGTAAGATTTCTTTAGAAACTAACCTCTTGCAGTACGTTTTTTCATTTTTAAATTAACATAAAATATGTTTATGAAGATATCAGGCACCGGGTGATACTGGACAATTCAATCTTCAAGGAAATACCAATTCAACAGAACCAAATATTACAGATTTGGATGTAGATAAAAGTAACACTCTTGAGGATGATAATAATAGTAGTGCCATTGATATTGATTCGGAAACTTCTACTACTACGGAGTCAAAATTTACAAAGAAGAGGCCAAATAAAAATCCATTATTGAATCAAACAACAAAAAAGAAAAAGCAATGAAAAAGAATAATAAAAAAATACAGTATATTGTACTATACGAATCAAAGATTTAGCCATGTTGAAATATTAATTTTCATCATATCACTAGTCATACAACATGGACATGGTTAGTAAAATAAATAAATGACTGATCCATCTATTTAATACCGTTTTTTAAACAATAATAAAAATTATTATTAATATTGAATTTACAATGATAACTCAATATTTTATAATGCAACAAAAAAATAAATATAATAGTGTACATGATAACATAAACTATAAATAAATTTGTTACTGTTATACTAAAAATGATTTCTATTGGAACTATATTTGTTAGAAGCAAGATTCTAAAATATTTTCATTATTGCATTTATTACGATTATATTATTTAACATATTATAATTAATTACAGATATATAAACGCTATCAGAAAAACAAAAGAAAAAGTAAACATTCTTTACTCGTTTGTTTTTATCTTAAAACTGTTAGAGAATATCGATATTTATAATAATATAGAAGATATATTATTTAATACAAACACATGTATAAGAAATATTAAATTTTCTTTCTTTCGTCGTTATATTTACTATATAAAACATTATAGAAATATTGAAAATGTACAATGAGAGCAAGTTGTTTTTTTTTAATGTTTCAGGATTGTAACCAGTACTTCATTCATATCAAATGAAATGTGTCATCGGTCTTTTAATATATTATCAAAGATTTAATAAGTCTTACATAGGTAAACATTAACTTAATTATATTTTTTAATAGCTAATCACGAAGCATGAAAAAATTGCTTGCATATTATTTTTTTGCTTTATCTTTCTTACTTTTTCAAAAAGTCATCGATATCATTTTTCTATTCACTTTCTCGTTCAACGTGATATTATTATACCTATTAGGTATAAAACATTTTTGCATTAACAAATGATCTCTTGTGAAAATGTATCCTGATTATGGAGCAAGAGATTTCTACCAGATCTTTTCAAATCTGATAATAATTCTTTTGTTTCTTCTTGTGTAATACTATTTTTTAATGAATTAAACAATACAAATTTTATGCATCGCTCTCAGTTGCACCATCTTCTTCCATAATAGGTACTATCAAATTATCTTTAGACATCAGATTGTATTTAGTTACGAATGCAGTAAACCTTCGACAAAGAAATGTTTTATTTTCAAACTCATCGAATATCGTTCTGTGATGGAAATATGCATGAGAGAATATTCTATATACTCTGCGACACACAGATCCAAGTTTTGCCACTGAAGATTCTTTGATGCTTACTCTGAAATAATGTAATAATAATAATAATAATAATAATAATATATTGTTATTGTTAAACAAAAAAATATCGATTAATATTTATAAAAACAACGAGATATATATATACCTGCTGGGAAAATATTTATTACTGTTTAATAAACAAGCTGCTCCATCTAATGTATGTCTGGTATAATCGATAGCAGGACATTCTTTAGGAGTTTTATGAGCAGCACATAAAAATATCCATTGTTCAGTCGCTGTCATTTGATTACATGTTTCAGGATGACATTCTTCTTGTAATCTAACTGCCAGTCCATTAAGTTCCATACAAAATTGTCTCAAGTGTTCATACTTCCATACTCCTTCATCTTGAGCATCTGGCATATTGAGTATCAATTCTATATTTGATGGTTCTCTTCTGATGGTTTGTTGTATATATTGTTGTACTGCCAATGTACTATCCATTTCTTCGAACACTTCATCTGGCCACATACTAAAGTCCTGTTAAATATTTAAACAATCAACAGTTAATGATAAATAAAAAAAATTCAAAAACAACCATTGATAGCTTGATGAGAAATGTCAAACAATGTTGAAGTTGTTTGTATGAGTTTGAAAAGAATATACTATATTTAAGGTTAGATTAATTTTATTAAATATTTATTATTTGTTATATTTGTTTATAAATATTCATTGAAATATGCGTAAAATGATGCCGGTAGATGAAATAAAAAATTCGTCCCAATCAAAGAGAGAGAAATGTTAAAGCAACATTTGTATTGAATGTAAAGGATGTTATGTTTAGAATAATTAATAATAATATTTACTTTAGCTTTAGTGCCAGGTCTATTTCTTCTCAAGATTGTTGGTCCGTCCGCCATCTTCATGTTGTCAATTCTTGCGATTAATGCAACTCAACATCCAACTGCATTAAAAAGGGGAAGATGCTTCTTCTTCTTCTAGAATATCCAATATTTTTTATATAGTAACCAATATTACCTCCAGATGGCATCCATGTATAAAAAAAATTATCGATGGCTAACCTATCGATTTTACTAATCGCACGATAATCTAATCGACTTTTAATGATTATTTATTAAATCTTAATTTATTTATTTAAAAAAATAAGTTTCTAAAAAACATTTAATATTGAATGATAGCATACAATACCTTATTTAACACCAAATAGTACTTACGTATGAATCGTTTGTTATTCTTATCGATTTTGAAAGCTTATTTTGTAATCTCAATTAATTTATTCAGAAAACTTAACTCCTTTAAATGTATTGAATTGTTTATGGAGTTATAATTACGTGTTAATGTATTTATGGTATCTTTAAAAATGGATCTTTCAGTAAAATGGAAGGGGAAATCGATAAGATGACGTTTGATCAACAGCGCCAGTGTATTGTAATTACGTGTAGTTTCGTGTTGATTATAGTAAAAAATTATTTATTTATACATCTGTCATCTATAACCTATAAAATATGAATGTGTAAATAGTTCAAATAATAGTTATGAAAACATGACTTCGTCGGTGGATGTTAATGATTCTATGGAAAGTGCAAATATCAAATTTGTTAATTTGATTGAACGAATATTATCATTAACACACACTAAACTTAGTAATAAATCATTAATTAATTCGTGTCTCAATGATCTTAATGATATTGATTACAGGCACATTAATATAACAAACAATGATGTAAGTTTTATTTTATCTTGTAACAATTAATGTCATTTTTTTAAGGTTATGTCACTTAGATTATCATAAATAAACTTCAGAATAAAATGACATTAATTATTGTTATACCTTGTTGATTATATTTGTTGTTTATTATAATTGTTGTTACTGTTTTAGGCTGTTCTATTGTTGATAAATCAATTATGCACTATCGTACCACCAACAGAAACACTTCTTGTTAAAGATACTTGTCTATTCTTAGCCAATGTAATATTAAATGATCTTGTACTAAAAGGAAGAACCTTAGCTGCTTGCATGAGATGGATCTTGAACGCATTAAAATTTTCTAAACCATTCGCTTGGGTTTCTATTCTTCACGCTTTAAAAAGTGTCTTAGTTAATGGTAATTTTGATAATATCAATCAAGTTAGTATTTTTAATTTGTTGTAAAAATGATTTTCTTCTTTGTAAATACGTTATGTTAATATTTTTATTTTGTTTTTTCTTTTTCAGTATCTTCAATCCTTACTTGGAGATAAGGGTTTGTTGAACAAATACTTAGTACTAGAAAATGAAGAATTGACGGATTTAAATATGCAAGCGATATGTTGTTTGGAAGGAATTTTGATAAATAAGAAAAGTAATTTAAATATATCAGAAGAATACATATGTATCATTAGGGATGTTGTTTTGAATATGGTTTCATTGTTACCATGTTCAAATCATAATACACAATATTATAATAAAGTAATTAATATTATAAACAAATGTTTGAAGTTACATGTTGTAAAGATACGAATTGTTATTTAGAAATGTTGTATTTTCAGATTTTATGTTCATGTTTGAGAATTTTACGTATCGGAATCAAAGATAAATTGATAAAGATTACACCAGATCTTATTGGACAAATTTTAGGAATAGTACAGGCTTTTCTGTTTTATGGAATTAAAGGTTATTTACCTATACAACCGCAACTTCTTCATCCAGCAGCAATGAATCTTCCAGAACATCCACACATCGTACCAAAATGCAAGAATCAGATAACAACCAAAACTAAATCTAAGAAACAAATGTCTAAAAAATCTACACCAGAAGATAAACGTATTTCCTCAGAAAGTAAAAAAATTTATAAATATTCCAGCGAATCTGAAATATCCGATAGCGAAAACAATGATTCTGTTTTCGTGGAATTTAAAATCAGACTTGAAACTGTACGCTTATTGCATGCTCTTATTGAAAACACGCAAGCTCGTGAAATTTTTGGCTACTGGCCACAAATAGTTGCTACCGGTTTGCGAAAAAATGCCAGAGTATTAACTAGGAGTATTTTAAAAGAACCTAATACAAAAGTAAGACAAAATGTTTTAGGAGCACTTACTGAATTATTAATCGGTGCTAGACCTTTCTTAATACATGCCGAAGATGTTCAACCAACTTCGTTTATAACTTTTTTCGGTACGGTTTATCTAATGGTCAATGAATTGCATTTTACTTTATCATTAGCTTTAAATACTGAAAAGAATGCAGTTGTTTTGACACATCTATTAAAGTGCATCACAGTGCTTATCCAAGGTACGCCGTATGCTAAATTAAAACCCGGACTTCCAACTAAGTTAATTCGCAACTGTAGATCATACATAAAACATAAAGGTATGCGTAAATAAATATCTATATATATATCTATATATTTAATTACTAATTAATATTAAATTCTAGATCCTACTGTAAAGGTAGCAGCATTTTCAGTTTTTGAAGCACTCGCTTGGAATGATCCTATTACTCCAGAAATATTAGCAATTCTATCTAAACAATCTAACGTCAATCCTGAACCAGAAACAAATGCAAGTTCAACTAATGATCTAACGGATCAAGAAGAAGAAATAGATATCGAAGATTTAAATGATAGTATAATTGAAAGTACTGATGAAGATAAACATTCTAAAGAAGAAGGCATTAGTTCTTTACTTCAAGTATGCTTGACTAATATATCAAACAAGGTATTAGACAAACAAATATGTAATATTATTCTATGCAATTTTATTAGATAAATAATTATTATATATATATATATTATTTTAGAATACGGGTATTCCTGTCCAACTTCAATCTTTGAAAGTAGTTGCCGCATTAGCGTTTAATGCTAGCAATCTTATATTTCCTTATTTGGAAAGAGTTACCAATACTTTAATTTCTGTATTAGGAGATTCAGAAATACAAATAATATTACATTCTTGTCGAGCACTTGAGTTAATAGCTGATTGTTTAGCGAATACAGATTCAAGTCATAATTCTTTATTATTTTGGAATATTGTATTCGAACCTATGACGTTATTAGTTCAACATGAAGAAACTATAGTAAGAGAAGGTGCCTGTGACTGTTTAGGTGCTATTGGTTCTAACGTGGTCACTCAATTAACGGTATACAATATCTATTTATTTCCAAATGTTATCTCAACTTTTATTTAACATTATTACAATTATTTCAGCGTCAACAAAAAATATTACTTATAACAATATTACTAGGAACAATTCATGATGAAGAAAATGCTGTTAGAGCAGCAGGTTTAAGAGCACTAGGAATGTTAATAGGACTTCCTCCTTTTGAAGAAGACACAGGATTTTTAATGGATTTAGCTGATGTCGCTTGCATTGGTTTAAATGATCAAAATCTTGGCGTACGCATTAAAGCATCATGGGCATTAGCTAATTTATGCGATTGCATTTCTAGAAGACAGTTAGTTTCGTTTACTTCATTATTTTTATTATTTTATATTTTATATAATTTATAACAATTATATATATATTTGTAGATGTAACGAAGATATGGAGCCTATTTTATTCGACATTTTATTACCAAAAATTTATCAAGCGACCATTACAGCTACTAAAGATAGTGCTAAAGTTAAATGCAATGCTGTCAGAGCTTTAGGAATTATTTTGTATATTTGTCCGGATAGAGAAATATTAAAAGATACGTCTTCGGGATTGGAAGCTTTAATTAATTGTGCTGTATTAGGAAATGATATGAAAGTAAATACACATTTATAAAATAGTTTCATTTTATTAAATATACAATTATTTTAAAGTATATTATGAGGATAACTTTGTAGGTCAGATGGAACTCTTGCAGAGCAATAGGATTAGTTATTTCCCAAAATCCAGATTATATTCTACCATCGTCTTGGCAAGTATGTATGTAATATACAAGTTGTTTTGTAATATGTGAAGTTCACATTACATAGGTAACATCCTCTATATTTATAATAATAATAATTTGTTCAATATAAAAATATATTTTTACAGGAACAAGTATTTCCAGCATTGTGCAATTTAATATGTCATAGTCCAAATTTTAAAGTTCGTACAAATGCTGCATGGGCTTTATATTCGTGTAATACTTATGGTAAATACACTCCAACGTTATGGAAAAGTATAGTTTTAGCTTTTGAAAATTGTCAACACGTGCCAAGTTATGTCGAATATTCTCATCGTGATACACTCGTTCAACAGGTTTGTTCGAGTATAATTTTTGCTTTGATATCAAACTAAATTAATATTTAATTTGTCTAATATTAAAAACCCCATTATTTCTATTTTTAGTTGTGCCTTACACTAAGTCATATAGCTGCTCATACAAAGGTAACTGAATTGCAAAACGTTTGGGTAGAAATTGGTGATCATATCGAAAGTATTTCCAACTATATTAAAAAGTTTCAGGTACGATTTATAGATAGAAATAATTGTACATGATTATTACAAAATGTAATATTTATTTATTTAACAATATATAATATTAGAGGGATCGAAAAGTAATGTCATTTTTGTACATTAAACTAAAACACGACTTTGAAGTATATAATAAATTAATTTAACATACTTCTATTTAACTTAAAACATAAAACATATTATTTTCTGATCCCTCTAATAATTTTACTTTACATTTTACAATGTACAAATATATACAATCACATCTTTTGTTTTTCTTTTTTTTTAAACATAATTTCAGGAAAACATATTGCCAGAGAAAGTTGGTAATATAATAGAAGCTAAAGCGCATTTAGAAAAGTGTGTTAAAACTGCCAAATCATTGCAAGAGCAACAAATAGCCAGTACTTTAGCCAATTTATTTGATAGAACAAGTCTTTACGATAATCTAGATAGTTTAAGTATAATGTAAAAAAAAGTATCATCGACGCATATTTATATTTAATAATAAATCTTCTACTTAAACGATCATTCATTCATTTGAAAAATCATAATCTATAATCAAACTGAACTTGTTGTGCAATATGCATTTTTTTTTTAATGTATATTAATATACATACAATTGTTTTTTCTTCTTTTTATTCATCCTCATTTACTTCTTTCTTTGTAGATTCATTTAATATATTAGTCGTATCATTTTCTTGATCTTGTTTAATTTCTGTAGAAGTTGTATCGTTCATAGTATCCTTACATATAACATTAGATTCATCTTTATTATTTTCTTTTCCATCAACTTCGATATCCTTTGACTGTTTCATTTCTGTACCATTTATGTTATTTGTAGATTCTTTATCACAATTAGAATCAGACTGTGTTTCATTATCATTATTTTCATCCTCTGAATCACTGTCCTCTGTATTACTATCTTCTTTATTATTTTCCTTACTGTTGGTTTTCGTATTATTCATTTTCATCTTTTTCCTCCCTTTCATCTTCTGTTTTCTTTTCAATCTCTTAGCACGCTTTTTTGCTGTTGCTTCCTCCGCTAGTTTCTTATTTTGTTCCAACTTTTCATGATACTGTGCATCCAAAAGTTCCTGCAATTTCAATGAAAAATGATTTACATTTATTTCAAGAATAAAACAAAGTTATATTAATTTTTTAATATTAATTGAATGAAATAACCAACCTTATATCCTTTCTCTTGAATAAATTTTTGTCTTGCATATTCTTTACGACGCAAATGTCTGTAAACATGAAACTCTCCACTGCCTGCACCAGCACTACTTCCCATTACATTTCTTACAAATTCTGGTACCGTTGGTGTATTTTTTGGTTTTGGTCGTTCTGGTAATACAATAGGTTTGTCCTATTAATAAAAAGAAAGAAAGAAAGAAATGATTAAACATCACAAATAGTATACAACAAAGTAAATATATATTATTATTACTATTATTTTTATTAATGAAATACTTACTGGATTTTTCATTAACTTCATTAATTTTAATCTTTGTAAATCAACAGCTGTTTTAGCAACTATCGGTTTCTCTTCTTCCTTTTCTTTTTTATTACTCATATTGTTATAAGTAATATAACCAATAAATAATAATATAAGTTGTGATACGATGTCACAGATACTGTGCTATTCTTTTCTTTTTTTAAAGGAACTGTAGCACCACCTAGTATCTTAATTTTTCTGTCGATAAAATAGATTCGCATTTTACCGACTGTTGACATTTACCGGATTGTTCTTCCTCGTCGATATTTTACCGACTGTTGACATTTCCCGAGTTGTTCTTTCCCGTCGATATATTACCGACTGTTTGGGTACTTTAAAAATTATTCTTTTTTTATTGTCATGAATTTTTCTTTTATTTTTAGAAGATATTAATATAAATTTATTCATCAAAATGAATGCTCTGTTTGACTTTATAAAAATATAATAGTAGTAAATAATGTAATATGTTTTAGTTGTGTAATTAAGCCCAAGTTTCATCAAGAATTAATATATTATTATTTTATTAAAAAGTTTTAAATTTATTTTACATCTTACATAACCATGAAAAAATGATTAAATATTTGGACAATTTTATTTACGATTTTAAAAGAAATATATAAGTATTCTTATAATTACATCTTCTAGTTTTACAGATTTTACAATTTAGAAAGGATTTATAAATGATCAAAACTTTTTCATTAATTATTGATCTTAATATATATTGTTTTAAAAAATAATGAAATAAGAGATACATTAGAAGAATGAAATGTGATAAATCTACGGTACAAAATCTGGATTTTTCCTTAATATGACAAAGCCTTCCATGATAGGAGTCAATGGTATATATTCTTCGGTAGCAAGTTCAGCTCTTTCGCCATATGCTAATAATACAGGAGTCGTATGTGTTTGGAAACCAGTTATTGTTTTAGGTTTACCCGCTTGACCGACAACATCAACTGCAAGACCTACTCGTACTGGTACAGCTAAAGGATTAAGAACCTCATCGAATGTAACCAACATTCTTGGTTGCATGGCAGCTGCTAACGTATATAAAAGGTAATGCGATCTTCCAAGAATAACTGTAATAAATAAATAAATATAAATAATTATAATAAAATAGTATAAATATTAATTTATGTTATAATTGGAATAAATAATTAAACTACTTACTGTTTTTAACATCAAGAAAACCAACCAATGTAGCAAGGAGACCAGCTAATGCAACAGGACTTAATAATTGTCTATCACTATGATATGGAGATAATGTTAATGTTCCTTTTCCAAGATGCGTTAAACCTTGCGATATACGGACCATGAATAAATTATTAGGATCTTTAGAATGGAACAAGGCTAATTGTCTTAACATAGCTGCTAATCTTGCATTATTTGTTCCAGCTCCGACTAAACCCATAGCAAATATTGCATTGTGAGCTACCTCTGGGTCACTGTCGTGTGAAAATTTAGATAAGGTATCTAATATGTTTAATTTAGGATTAGAAACGGATATCAGTCCTAAAGCAAGTGGTACGGATCTTCTAATTACTGGTTCGCAATATCTCAATAAATGGCCAAATGTTCTGTATGCCATTTCTGCTCCTATTTCTTCGCCCATTGCAATCAATGCAATTCCAAGAACAGCAATCGCTTGACGTGAGCTTAAATCTTTTTCTTTTTCTTCTTTCTTTTCCTCCTTTTTATCTTTATCCTTGCGATCACTTTTATCTTCTTTCTCATTAGTTGGCTCATAATGTTCAGAACATATATGTAATAGATGTTGTATTTTCAGAACATTTCCTGTTCCTGCATAAGCACATACTTCTACCAACGTAGTGGACATTGATCTAAATGGTTCTGGTATAACTTCTAATGCTGCGATTATTGCTTCAGCAGCTTCTTGTTTCCCTAAGAAACATAATCCCAATCCAAGAGGTAAAAAGCGTGCATACGTATCTTTAAGATCACTTTCGGATTTTTCCATTAATGTATGCATTATTGTAGTTGTAACATATGCATTACAAGATCCAACTGCAACCATTCCTAAAGCAAGACCAGCTACACCAATGACTTCCCAACTTGATTTTGGATCGCTGAGAACCGGTGTAAGTAAACATAATACTGTTTCTCTGTTAGAACCAGCGTATGCCAATCCTAGACCAACAATTGCACCAATTCTCATCGTATTACTACTGTGTAATACATAATCAGAAAGAAGAGCCAAAGCTGGATCGCATTCGTTTCTTACACCACAGTTTACAATACCACAGGCTAGTAATGCTCCAGATTTAATATAATCTTCCGAAGAGTAAAGGTATTTGTCGATAGGTGTTAATCCACCATCAACATCCCACAATAAAATCAAACCCAAAGATGCAGTAGCACTGAGCATTCCATGCTCTTTATTTTTGTATAACCATTTATTACCATCTTCGATCAACAACTTGTCTTGTCCGAATGCAGCATTAACAAAACCATTGACAAAGCTAGCAGCTAGATTTTGTCTCGCCGAATCTACTTGTCCACCACCGAAAGGTGGCCGACAATTTTCCAAATGTGATTTATATACGTCCTCTGGTGTTTTAGGTTCCGTTATATCCAATTCACGTGCCAAATTAAGGAAGTGATTGTTTAATTGAGAATTGGACATTATTTCAACCAAATCGTCATATTCAACGGTTGATTCATTAAGATCTAAGAAGATTTGTTGACGACCCAACATAAATGCCAACTGTCTTTGGACTGATCTGAAAAAGATAAGTAAAATATGTATTAGGAAATAATACTTCATATTCATGACCATTTAACTATACTTATTTTGATAACTTACAGATCGGTACATTTAGTGAAAATTTCTTCAATGAAAGAAAGATCATTGAGCTGCATTGCAAGACGAAGTGCTTGAGGAAATTGACCAAACTTTCCATACAATGTTGCAGCAGTTTGAAGTAGAACACCACTTTCTGCATCAGCGACATAAGGTACACAGCTGGTAAGATAAAGGCAAACTCTTTGATATGCACTCTCATCGACATATTGTTCCAATATATCAAGCCTTTCAATTTCCATCAGCAAATCACAAGCTTCAGTTTCTGCATTGTGTGCCATATTATACGGCACGATTTCATGTACCAATGCAATTAATCTTTTACTCATTGATACAGCATCAGCTCCACAAAGTTCATCCCATTCTCCTGCTAATTCACCTGACAAGTGTCTGACATATTCGTGTCCCCATTCACCGATGGGCAAAGCGGAACCAGTTAATCTATATTGTAAGCATTCTCTACCCTCTCCCATGGTCATTGCCAATACGGAGATAATATCTGAACACAGTTCTTGCAATTCAGGGTTGGTCATCTCATCGTAAATTTTTTTCATGGTATCATAATGAGGTCTCATAAATTTCAAAGGTTTTGGTACGCTTGTCATAGAAGTCGTCGATGCACGTATCTGTGTACGTAGCAATTCCAATGCAAATTGATGTAACTTTTGATTGGGATCTTGCAATACTTCCACCAAATAAGTTAATTCCTCTTGCAAGAGTTTATCCTCCTCAGTCTAGAGATAGAATAATTTCACATTTGTTATAATATTAATTATAGTTAGAAGTAAGTTCATTATATTGCATTCTGTGTAATTTACTTACCAACTCACTCTTCTCATCTTCTTTCTCATTTTTGATATCCTTAGATGGTTTCACCTCGATTTTCGTACTTTCTGACATTTTGTCTTTTATAGTTTTTTATTATTTTATCAAAAGAATATAATCTCACAAATTTTTTCAATGCTATCGTTGCTATTTCTAGGATTAATCAACTTTAGATGAATACTCCACACTGGATCATGAGTTTCAATGTTTGCTAGTCACCATTATCGTGAACGCCACTGTGGTCAATTGATCAACTACAATGTCAAATCTGTTTTACCATCAAATTATCTCAGTAGGTAAATATATTTATTTTAAAATAATATATATATTAAATAATAATAATTCATATAATTTGTTTATATATTTTTGTTAATTTCAATATATAAATTAATGTAAAAAAAAACATGTGTCCATATCACGCAAGTTAGAAGTGAAACCTTCAAATAAACAAATTTCGTGGATAATTTATTATATAATATTATAATAATATTATTTGTACTTTTAATTTGTAATTATTTATTTAATTAATTATTTAATTATAAAAATTTTATAATTTTATAAAGCGGAATTTTTGTCTGCCCGAAAGATAGGCAACCCGTCATACATACGTGTAGAAACAGTTTTGACTGCAAAAAAATTCCGTCCCAACAGATGTCGCTCGCAAGCAACATTTTCAAAGTGTGTCTGGAGGGTTGCATTCATACAGGCGCGCATTTTTATAATAATACTTACAAAGAAAGTAAATAATAATAATAACTAATAAATATAACTATAATATTATTATATACTAATGCTCGTTATACAATTTGTTTAAGCACAACCATAATGTCTCTTTGTGAGTGGAAATAAATGCGCAAGCGTTTGCTGATTTGTTATTCTCAGTTGTCAAGGTAACAGGAAGTTGACGCCGACGGAGGCGGGAACGTCAGACGTCGCGATGCACCTGTGACGTGCAAATCGCCGTTGGTGGAGCGGCGTTAAGCCGTTTTCCTCCGAAAAAAAAAATATCAAAAGAAACGTGAGTGTGTGCGTGAATGTATATATGTGTTTATTATGTATATAAGTTGTACGTGTAGAAATAGATACGTGCGTGTAACAATTCATTTATTTATTTATTTATTCATTTGCATTACTATTACTAATGTATTTCATTAATTAAGTATTTATTTGTTTTTTGTTGTTGTTGTTGTTGTTTTACGAAATATGAATTATTTCAGTAAATAATTTAAAAATTCCTATGAAAAATATTGTATTATCAGTGAAACATTTCTTTTTCATCGTTAACTGGTACTAATCGATATTACAGAAAAGAAAAAAAACACATAACGTTGATTGAGAGAGAAGATAAGCGGTGAGTTGTTTCGCAATTTTCATATTTATCTATAAATATTTATTTATTTTTATTTATTTATTCGAAATATATAAAATTGTTAGTTACGTGAAGTACGCTCACGTTGCATTCATATTGTTCGATAGTGGTTATGGATCAATCACGATTTACATTTTAATATAATTAATAAAAAAAACTGCAACTGCATAATTAATAAAATACAAATATCATAGATCTTTTTCTAAAACTTTATAGAAAAGAAAAGAAATACATTGCAATTGATTGAATTTAAGATAGATCATTAAAATCGTGATCGATAATTCATATTTAATTGATCTTCAATTATCTTTGATTTGACTGACGTTGTATGCTTCGATGGCGCGAGAATTTGAAATAAATCGATCGAAATGAATGATTTTTGTTTAAAATAAAGTTTTCTATTCAATGCTTATTTATTTATTTTGTTGTATTTATTTGTATTATTTTTTTTTTTGATGTGGCTTGAAGAAGAAGAATAAGATTTTGATATTGTAGTTATATGTGTGTTCCAGTTTTGATAAACCCCCTATAAAACGGCAACACACCACACGTTTATATCGTCTCTGTTGCAAGGTTTGCTTTTATTCAGGGGCTTGTAGACATAATGAAATTCTCTCACGAAACGCATATATTTGAAGCAACGTGCGTGTTTCTTGTATCTAGTCGTTGGATATTTCGTTAAGTCGCTTAGATGATATACGCAAGAATGATCGAAGATAAACAGAAAAATATTACAAAGTGTGTATATATGTTCTTTATCCTATTCGACGTATATCAATATTAGATTTATCGAACTATTTTTCTTTTCTTTTCTTTTCTTTTTTCTTTTTGAAGTGAACATTTCTTTAGAATCAGGGTGATTTGAAAGATTGTGAAATGGAAGAACGTCAAACTGATGAAACAAAAATAATTAATTAATTAATAAAATTCAGTGTCACAATATGTTTGTCAACTAATAGTTTCGAAACTACTCAAACTTATTTTCATGAAATTGATTTTATTTCACGCGTGATTTTTTCCAACTTAGCACATAGCACAATTTTTATATTTTTATTATTTTTTATTACTAATTTAAAGATTTTTTTTATTTAGAAGTTATCTAGGTTCTGTAAGGTGATTCTTTCAATAGATGGCATTGTATTACAATTCAATTATTTTGAAGCTTGGTTTTCTTTGAAGGTTTCACTTCTACCGTGTGTGTGATTTGCACAACACATCTGTTGTTTTTTTTTTATTCATGTTAAAACATCATTACTTTCAATTAATTTTATTGCATACACTCCATATATATGATAAAACTTTTAAATTTGTTGTTTTAAAAAAAAGATAGAATTGATTTGATTTAGATAGATGGAAAGAAACTTTTATTTCAAATACTTACAACATTATTATACACGTTAAACATTAGAATCAAGGATAATAATGATTGTAACAGTTACAGTTTCAAAACTATGCGAATTAGGATGTTATATCCTTCGAAATAGGGCTTCGTTGTTTCGTCAATACTGCAGGTAGTAACCATTTTTAATAGTACATACTATTATACATATATATAAATGTATTCTATCTTATACATGACTTAATATTCATAAAAATATCTATATAATAAGTATTTAATTAAAAATTAATTACAGTAATATACATTACAGTAAATAGGTTGATGCAATTATTAAAAAATAATTTCTTTCGTTTATTTGATAAAACATAACGCCGATAGAAGATCGTAGAAAAATTGAACTCGGTTCGTTTCGATTGGTTTCATGGAAAATAGGCAAACAATTTGAAATTTTTTAATCGTCGATTGTATATATGTGTGTATGTATGCATATAAATTCGTCTAGGTTCATTTCAAGTGGTGCACATACATGTTCATCGTAGTATCCGAGCATCGAATGCCTGCGGCCTTTGCGGTTATGTATATATTCGTGTATATATGTACACACACACACACATCTATGTATGTTCTCATCTCTTTTCTATGTGCAGAGAAGGGGTTATCGATAATCGTGTCAATTTTCCGTGTCACAGGATTCGCCTTATGGGGTCGCGTGTTCACCAAATTGCATTTCTCTGTATCGGCTGTCATGAACCACCGACACACACATACACACATACACATACACACACAGAACTCTCAGAACCCCAACGTCGACATTCGTGAAATTCGATCGATGTTTCTGATTAATATTCGAATGATAGGTCATGATCGTTTCTCTTGATATCTGAACTAAGTAATTATCATTTAAGGATTATATGTCTTTCTATTTATTCCTTTGATTAATATAATTACCTATATATATCTTATAATTATTTAATAATATAATTAATAGTAATTTATATAATAAAATAAGATAACAAAACAAAAAACGTGTCACGTTGTTTGTCCGTAATGGATTCCTAAACTACTGAACTGATTTTAATCAAATTTTGTACACTGTGTGCAATTTCATTCAACTTGAAAGATAGGATATTGCGAATTATTTATTAACAAAGATTCGTTCACTTAAAGACGTGTGTATCGTATATATATATATAAAATATTTTTATTTTAATAATTTAAAAACGTAATAAAAATAAAATAAATGTAATGCTACTTCGATGTTATCAAATCAATTTTGAAATATAATTCGATTTTTTGTTGTTGTATAATTCGCGTTTATTTATTTTCACATAATTTTAATCGAATAATTTTAATTGTTTGTTTTTTTTTTTTTTCAATTTGTTGTTCAATTGTCTCGAGTATAATAATAAATTTAATTATTGAAAATGATCATCGATAGAACATGAAAGCAAAGTAGAAATGAATTAGAACGAATGTAATTAGTATTTAAATCGAAGATTATTCGTTCGAATAATTTTATTATCTTCGTCTAAAAGATTATTCGCATTCTTTCCTTTGAATATTTTGTGATATTGGAAAGTGGGTCAACCGAAAGAGAGATCCCTTTTTGGTACCAAAGTATTCTGGTTTTAATACTGAAAGCCACTTATTTCTTTCTCTCGAACAAAGCTTCTAACATTTCAATGTTCTTTTCTTAACACTGTAATATCTTTTTATTTACATGAACTTCATTTAAAAAAAAAAAAAAAAAAAATAAAAAATACTATACACATAAAAATTTATTCACACATACACACACTTACGCGTATGCACGAATCTTATTCAAATTTGTATATCTTTTCGTTTGAAATTATTAATAATATTTGTAATTGTTAAGTAAGAAGATTTTCATCTTTATCAGAGATACGTAAAAATATAAAATGTGAACAAGAAAAATCAGAAATGATAAGAACGATGTTTTAGAGTGGTTGACTTTATCGATCGATCTCACTATACTCGGTTATAGATACGAATAAATTTATAATAACCGGATATACATATGAATCGTGTGTGTGTGTGTGTGTGTGTGTGTATCTATGAATCTTATAATATTCTTTGTTTATACATTTACGTATTCATAATACTATATCAATCAATTCTAATAGTTATAATTATTTCTATAAAATTTCTACCTATAATTATGAAAAGTAGTCTAAGTCATAAGATCATATGTTCGTCGTATATAAAATACGTGACATTTTATAGAGGGGCCACTATAGTGGCTCATAGTAGTGAAAGGATTAAAATAATGTACTGTGTAAAATAATTGATATTTCTTTTTCAATTTTTGACTTACAATTAAATCATTTTCATAATTATGGGTACATTTCATGTTTTAACATATAGATCAAATATATTTAGTGTAAATATATATATATATATGTATATAGATTAAAATCTGTAGAAAGGAGAGACATTTTAATTAGAGGAAAGTAAAGTTTTGAAGAGAAAGGTTCGATATTTCAGGGTCTTCTTCTTAACGTCAATGTAACACTAAGACTAGGACAACGATGATGACTAAAACGAGAACGACAAGGAACACGACGAAGACGAAGACGAAGACGAAGACGAAGACGAAGACGAAGACGAAGACGATGAAGAAGAAGACGATGAAGAAGAAGAAGAAGAAGAAGAAGAAGAAGAAGAAGAAGAAGAAGAGGTCAGGGTACATCGTTTCGTCTCGGAAGCGCAATTACAAAAGTTTCCCTTTTAACGTTAATTAATAAGAGAGCGCGTCGTACCGTACTTCATTATAGTGCGATCCATTACGAAGATAGCCTCAGCTTCTTCTCTATCTATCCATCTATGTATCTATCTATCTATCTTTCTCTTTCTCTTAGAGTAACTCTCTCCTTACTACTCTCCTCTTTTAAGTTACTCGAGCTTTTTCGATCCAAAACAAAATAAGAATAAAAGAGAAAGAAAGAGAGAGAGAGAGATAAATGATGGAGATTCTGTAAAGCAACAACAAAAAAGAAAAACATTACTTTTACCTTCGCATATGTTTAACCTTATTATCCATAAAAATGTTCTATTCCCAAGTGTAAAAAGATACATTTTCCAACCTTCTCACGTACCAATTGCTAAAGAATCTGATTACCTTCGTTTATACGAACCTTGTCGATCCTGCGTTTTCTTTTTTGTTTTTTTTTTTTGTTTAAGTATACGTATGTGTGTTTTATTTATTTTTGTAAAAGGGGGATGAAAATGTGGATGTTATTAATTTAAAAAAAAAAAAAAAGAAAGAAGTTCTGTCAAGTATATATAATGTAATAAATTATAGAAAAAATCGTTTGATCAAATATCGTTTATTTTGGTAAATTTAATCATACATGTATATATATATATATATGTACATATAAGTCCCAGTCAAGTAGATTCATATATACTTTATGTACTTATATTTCTTCTTTCGTCATGGATGACGCAGACCAACTCGCGAATGCCGGTTCGCCTACGGATTTCGTGTCATTCGCCATATACGGTTCATCGTCGTCGTCGTCGAAGTCGTGCAAAAAGGAAACGCCAACCGATCGTTTATATTTCTCTTGAAACTTTCTTTTTTTTCTTCTATTTTTCCCTTTCTCTACCCACACACGTTGTGTGTCTCGTTTCAAACAGACGATTCTCTTTTTTACCCGAACTTTATCAAGGCGTGGTAGTTGTATCGCTTTCGCTCCTTTAACGGGGACCCAACAGACTTTTTGGGATGAACAGTGAAATGATTCAACCAATGGTTTCATGATTTATTTATTAATCCTTTATCAAGTAACTTCTTTCTACTTCTTTGTCTGATTTTTCAATCCCCCAAAATACTTTTCATAATCATCTTAAAAATAAAAAAAAAGGATTAATTTGATTATACAGTATCAGTACAGTTCGTTTTACTTTCTTGTCATTAATCTTACAATTGATGAAAATTATTCAACGTTGTTAACAATTTTTTCTTTTTTGTTTTTCCTTTTATCATACATTTAATTTGCATCTGGTTCTTGATACCAATCCCCCAAGTATCGTCATCGTTGTTATTCCATTACCGTTCTCATAGTTTCTTCGAGTTCGTTCGTTCGTTCGTTCGAGTGGCTAATACTCTCGCTTAGATAGTTAAGAAGGAACGAGTGTTCTTTTCAAGTATCACCATCTCTTATACAGACGTGTATTTAAGAAGAAGTCCTTCTTCTCTTTGATGAGAAAGTAAACTCGACTCTAAACGTTAATTCGATCCCCACCCCCGATAGTAAATGCATTTTTATTTTTATATCAATTTTTATTATAATTCCAATTTACAAATTTCTATTATTATAGATGATTAATTAATTTAATATGAAATGATTCGTCATTGAATTCGTCCATAATTGTAATTCAAAGTTTTGTCTCATTTGCATATTGAGAAAGATTTTGCTTCAATTAGAAATGAAATAATTTTTTTCTTATTTAATTTAAATTTAAATTTAAATTTAAATTTTTCTAAAACAAGTATTTCAATATCAGGAAAAAAAACTCTTTTGTTTCGAACACATTTTCAAATCTTTTACACGTTTCCTGCGTCATATTATATCATCGAGTATAGAAGTTTCATCGTCAAGGACACATTTATAGCATACCATTTTCTATCTATCTATCTCTATCTCTCTCTCTCTCTCTTTTTCTCATTTTCTTCTTCTCTTTGATGATTCAAACTTGTTGTTACGTTTTTCATGCTTCGATAATGCGTTAGACTACGTCATTAATTTTTCATTATAGTCAATTTGCGACACGAACCTTCGCGGGCGCCCACGATAAACGAAGTATTATTATTATTAGTTTCAATTCAATTACAATTCAATTCAAATTGATTCACGATTTTACTTTTATTTTTTATTTTATTCTATATTTATTAAGGGTATTTTTGTTTTTTTTTCATGAACATTATATGTGCCCAATAATTATGAAAGTGATCTAAGTCATGTATCTGTTGTTTCGAGATATTTAAAGATTTATAATACATTTGAACATGAAAAGAATTTTATATAATATATAAAAAAATATAAAAAATAAATATATAAAAAATAATATTATATAATTATATATATATATATATAATAATTAAAATTTTATTAAAATCGGTCGAATAGTTTTGAAATTCATTGGAAATTAACAATGTGAGATTAAATTTGTAAATATAAAAATATGATGTAATAATAAACATCATTAATAATTCATTCAAAGTGAATTTTCATTGTAAACGATTAAATTATTTCAACAATATTATTGATCTATTCAAAAATATGTCTAGTATTTATACGTTATCGTTGAAATATTTTCTGATAAGACGATTTCCTTATCTGTTTCTCTCTCTTTTTCTTTTTTTTTTTCGTATCTGTCTCTCTGTTTTTCTCATGTAAAAGTAGAAACACTATGGCGTCTCTCCATCGTATTGGAGAACGAGGAGACCACAAGAAGAAGAAGAAGAAGAAGAAGATGAAGGGGGAAAAGGGTAGAGAATGAGAAGATTCGTGACGGTCTACGTCATCGCTCGGTTTACATCGACTTATGTTAGTCGTTGTCGTCGTTGTAACGTTGTCGTTGTGTCGTTGTATCGTTATCATCGTTCGTAGTTGTGTTGTTGTTGTCGTTGTCTTAGTTAGTAGTCACGAGGAACCGGTTCCTCTTGTGAGAGCTTAAAGTTCCTCTCAAACGAACCTCTTTTATCGTATTCTCGTAACATCTCGTAAGAAAAATAACCCATTAGTTTAAAATCTTCAACAGAAAGTACCGTAATGATCAATTTTTACATTTATTTATTTTTTTTCAATAATTATTTTACAAATTTCTATATTTTTCTAATCATTTATGAGTCATCCGCACAAATATTGTTTCTGATTCATCCATCCGAACAAAGTTGAAACTTTTTTGGTACTTTAAACTATTTCATAAACTTTTGAACTTTGATCAACTTAAACCAATAATTTTTGGGACTCACTGTATTCATAGACAAAAATAAAATAAACAAAGAGAAAGAGAGAGAGATGCATCTATTATTCTAATCATTTCTAATCTAGAACAAACGTACACACACACATACACACATATGTTACAGAGAAATATAAGTAAACAGATAGTAAAAGCATTTTACGAGTAAGAAAAAAGATAGGAGAGAAGTTATGGTAAAAGTTCAAAGAGAAAAAATACAAGAAAATAAAACAAAATAGGAGAGAATAGATATAAGAAGAAAGAGATAGACGATCATTATACTATATATATATATACACACACAGACGGTATAAACAAACGTATATGTTTATGTATATCGTACAAAGTGCGTTAAGAGGACACATACATATATTATTACACATATGGAAAAAAGAAATATAAGAAATACACACACACACACATATTGTGACACAAAGATCAAAAACATACGCATACATATGTGCATGCACGTGAACGCATACATTGAAAAAGATAAAGAGTGGGGATATATAAGAAACGTCCCAAGCCGACGAGGTCGAGTAAAGTCTTGAAGGTGGTAGAGGGAATCAGCATTCTCCGTAAGCCCAAGTGAGAGAATATAAGAGAGAATAAGAGAGAGAGAGAGAGAGAGAGAGAGAGAGAGAGAGAGAGAGTGGTGTGTTTGGTCACTAGGGCCCGCGAGTTGGCCGCGGTGCCACATCGACGTGCAATATCGAGCAGAGAACATCACTGAAAACCACACACTCCTTTTCCTGTTATACCTGCGAACTTAGCGAGAGAGAGTGAGAGAAGGAGAGAGAGAGAGAGAGAAGTAGAAGAAGAGAGGCGAGTGAAGAGGAAAAAGAGAAAGTGAGAAAAACATTGAAAAAAATTTGTTTTGATAAAAAGTGAGACAAGTAGTAAACAATCATTTGTTTTGTATCGTGAATTAATTTTGTGATAATTATAATTAATAGAAAATATATATAAGTGAGGTGTTTTATATAAATATTTTCGTTGTAAAAAAAATAAAAGAGAGTTTGATAATCGTAATTGATATAATTAATTAGGTGTCTCTGAGTATAATAATAATAATAATAATAATAATAATAATAATATAAATATGACGTTGAATCGTAAGAAAGAATCAACAAATAATACTACGGGAACAAAAGATAATACCGGGGAAAGGAAGACGATTATGTCTACGAATAATAGTCGAAATAATACAGGAGAGATGGCATCTACTAGTGTTGTTGAAACAGTGGTATCATCTAGCAGCGTCCTTGAAGAAGCTCAAAGTTTTGTCGAGAGGGAATGTAGAAGTAGCGTAATTGAAAGTAGCAATACCAGTCGTGAAGTTATCATGGATTCTAAAGGTAATGTAATACGCGTGATAGAAAGTTCAACGCCAATTAAAAAATCAGCAAGGAGTAATTTGACACAGAGAAATGGTCAGACATCAGAGGATTTTTTAATTCAAGAAAAATTATCCCTAAAACAACAACAACAACAACAACAACAACCACAACATGGTCATACTACTGTTGTTCAAGATAAAAGATCAGAAGTAATGTCCTCGTCATCGAGTAGTAAAATATTTGAGACAAGTAGCAGTTCATTGGATCAAAGTGGTGTACAACAAGTGTCATCGTCAAGTAGTTCGATGGAAACCAAACAAATGAATCAACAATCTAAAGAAGAAATAACGAAAAATGGTGAGACAGTTAGCAACGTTAAAACTATCCGAGAATCCGCACAAATGATCGACGACAATGGTAAAGTATTGTCATCTAAAAGTAAAAACGTTGAACACGAGACAAAATTTTTACCGGCTGAACCACAACGTTCACGTGTCGTACAATTTACCGATGACGACGAGGCCAGGGAAACTGGTGAAAGTGTTGTCCTTGATATTACGACAAAATCAGGACAATCAACAACCGTATGGGATGGTACTTTTACGTACGAGGAACAATCTACACCGAGTCAAATACGAAAAAGTCAAGAAGAAATGCATGGTCAAATGTTGGATCGAACGATCGACGAAAGAGGAGGAAGAGATGTTGCGACTGGCATTGAAATCACCACTGGGTCAACTTCAAATAGTACGATTATTAAACAACACACTACGCAGGATACATCGAAATTAACTACCACTAGTAGTAGTAGTAGTAGTAACACTGATGTACGTCGTCAAAAACTTGGTGATTCAACTTGGGATGGTCGTTTCGTTTACGAGAAACCTGTTCAAGCTAAAAGAAGAAGCAACGTATCTGACAGTAGTGTTTTTAGGCATGGCAATCAGGACGATATCATTGAATCCACTCAACGCAGTGATTACAAAGAAAAATCATTAGATGGTACGTATGAAAAGGAATCGTCTGATGTCGTTAATATTCGTGAAGGTTCAACCGATACGTCGAAATTTATTTCACAAGAAAAAATCAGTAGCTCGAAGGAATCTCAAATGTATACAGATCAAACCAATAAAAATCTTCAATTTGATAAGAAACAACAAGATATCGATAAAATGATTAGACGAAGCGATAAACGTGAGGTTGTTGATGTACAAGATATTTCTGAAGAACAACAAAATGTTTCTGAATACGTTTCAACATCTTACGTTGTCGAGTATGCATCTTCCAGCGATACTAAAAACGTCGAATTGGTAAGTTCAGTATCAGAAACTATTCACGAGGAAGACGAAAGTATTTCAAGATCAACCATGAAAAAGGATCGTAGTTATAAACCAGGTGAATCCACTTGGGATGGTAGTTTCGTTTATGAAAAATTGCCATCTAAAGTTGATCGTCATCGAAGAAGACCACAGATGGACGAGACATTTGTGATTCGCGATGTTACCGAGGATCATTCTATCAATGAAGCTGACATCTCAACGACGTCTTACATAGTTGAACATTCCTCAAGTCAGCAAAGTTTCACTGACGTTAAGGACACGTCATCGATAGAAACTATAGTTCACCATGTTCCACAAAAGTACATTGACAAGCCTGGTTCATCGAGTTGGGATGGTACATTCGTATTAGAAAAATCGGAAGACATTAACAGAAGACAAGGAACGAATAAAATTGAAGAGAAATACAGTGACGTATCGAAAGTAGGGGATAGCAGTAGTAAAGTTAATATTTCATTGGTAGACAGACCTAGGAAACATGTGAGCGACGTTACCATCGATATTCACGATAAGACATCCAACGAGACGTTTAACAACACGCTAACGCAACAACTACACGTGGAAGAAACGTTGGAACGTAAGATAAGTAGCCATGACACTTACAATGACTCTACCAACCTCGATTTCACTTCAACTTCCGCCGAAACGGTCGTATATAAAGATGGACAACAACCAAACTTCAATTCTAACGTTCAACGAACTATCACGTTTGAAGATAGACCTGAAACACCTGACACTGGAAGAAGACGTATTACCGAACCATCCGACGAATCATTGCATGTTCAAGATAGAACTTATCGACCTACCAAACCGGGTTCTTCAACTTGGGATGGTTCATTTGTTTATGAAAAATTCGATGACAAAAAAACAAGTTCGTATATTACGAAGGATACACAAAACTTGACCAGTTCAATTGAAGTCACAAAAACTAGTTCAACCAATGAAATTATTGACTCCTCGAAGACTACGGAAGATATTATCGATGAAAGAAGACACGTCAAACAAATTCAAAGACCCCAAAGTCCAACGGATAAATTTACTCGTCCCTCGAAACCTGGTGATTCAACTTGGGATGGTTCTTTCGTTTATGACAAGGTACCAACAACTTCGGTAACTTTCAAAGATGTCTCTACAGATTTGACCAGTACAACACAAGTTTATAGTTCAACGAGTGAAATTATTGATTCGTCTAAAACTACCCAAGATATTTCGGATAAAACGATATTAATTAAGGAATCAAAAGGACCCGATGACTTAGACAAAAGACCACAAAGTCCTGAAAAGAAAGACAGATCTGTTCGACCATCTAAACCTGGTGCATCCACTTGGGATGGTTCCTTTGTTTACGAAAAGCCGCAGGACTTTAAAAAGAAACCAACGGATGTTGACAAAACTTTCTCTCCTTCTCGTGATGATAAAAAATCTGAAGATGTCAAAGATAAACCAGTTGATCAGCCAATCGAAAAGACAACGATTTCAACATTTGTCGAAGATTTTCGCGATGTCCAGGATACCATTGATGTCACTGATTTTACTACCTTTAATAAATCAGATTTCAAGGATATCAGAAACGTCAGTGACGTAACTAATATTACTACGTTTAAATCGGATGTGCAGGATATTAGCGAGGAACGTGTCATCAACGAATTTATTACGGATATTCGCAAGGACACTTTGGTGAGTAAGAAAAAAAAATAAATCACACATACATAAAATAAAATTAGAAAATAAAAAAAAATAGAAGATAAAGTAATCATTCAGATATATTTATTCGATAAATAATCCTTACATGGTTTGGATAATATTGACCAACAATTTCTTTTTAAATACGAGTTAGGTGTTTTATCCAGAACGATGAGATCATCCTTTGCCTTAATGTAAAAATAATTACATGGAAAGGTTGGTGATAGTAGTAGTGGTGGTGGTGGTGGTGGTGGTGCTGGAAGAGGGAGTGGGTTGAGCCTCGTTCACACATATACACATACGTAGAATCTTGATTTAAACGTATAATCATGAATTTGTTTGATTATTATTAATTGTCAAGTGTCGTTCACATTTGTAACTTACAGATTGGACGTAATCGTGAAAATTATGATTGTTTCGTCGCCATTGAAATTCAACAGTTGTCTGCTTGGTCAATTTAATAGTCGTTCGAGTAAATAGTATGTGGGTTGAAGAAGTACAAAATATAATAATATTATAATATGTACACACGTGTGCATATGTGTATAAAACAAAAAGAGAGAGAGAGAGAGATAGAAAAGGAAATATATTATTTTCATGAAATTTGAGTATCATCGAGAATGATTATGATTCACCTAAATGTTAAAACGCTTTAGGCTACTAATCGATACTATCGAAGGATAATATTCTAGCCAGGAGCATAATTCTAGTTTGGATAATATTATTATTTTATTACTTACATTGTAAATTATTGATTGAATTATTAACAAAATGTAATTTAGATCATTCGATCATCAATGGTTCCTTTTTTATCGCAAATTATTTTGTATATGTGTGAAAGAAATTCAATGGAAATGTTAAAAGTAAAATAAAAGATGAGTTTGACTTGTTGACAGTGTAATCATTTGACAAAAAAAAAAAAAAAGTTCATTGAATTGCTATTAATATATTTATCGTTTAACGATATATCGTAATGAGATAAAAATGTCGGAATTTTTTGATAAAAATTTATCTACGAAGAAGAATGGTCAATTATTTTAAAAACTATAATTATATATACATAAAGGATTGTTTTTTTTTTATAACACTTTTTTAATTAAATAATATAAAGATTAGATGGAAATTTATGAACAATTATTCACGTAAAATAATAAATTATTTGATTAATAATGAAAATAATTTTCTAAAACAGAAATTTTATAAAACAATGGAAAGGATTAGAAATGATTAGAATTATCTTCATGGATGTTAATTAATTATTTCTACAATTTATAACAATTTATATTAATTAAAAATATTATTAATAATTACGTAAAATTATAGTATTAATGACTACCCACGTTACACGTGTATTAAACGATTCCAAACAATTATACTAATTTATTCTCACATTAAATATTCGTTCCACGATGCATACACACATATATATCTATATATATTAACTATTTTTTTTTTTTCTGATGACTGAATAACACGTAATGAAAAATATAAATAAATAATAGTCATCGTGTTAATGAATTTCTAATAGTATTTAAAAAAAATATATATTTTTCTATTTTTTTAATCTTTTTTTTTATCATGATTCTAAATGATCTTCCAAGTCCAAGGTCATAGTTATTGTTCATAGAAATCTCCAGACTAATAAAAGATAAATCGGTATAGTTAAATTGACTGAACGTTCATACATATGTATATGTATGTATGTATACGTAGATGTTTTAAATGATCTAAGCATTCTAAGCAATAGATCAAACATGTATATGTATATATACATATGTGTGTATGTATCATATGTACTTGTTGAAACGATAACGATCGTGCTGAATACTTGGAGTCATGAGTTCGTCAGTGATGTCATCGTTCACGTTGATCTTTTTAAATGTACGACCTGTTTCCGACAATTTCTTACTTGACACAAGATGAATTATTTTTTTAATAATAATATCTAGTATTATAGTTATCTTCTATCAGAAATATTTTTTTTTTTTAGATAATTCTAACATTTAAAAATTATTAGAAAAAATAAATTACTTTTTTACAATCAAATAAATCAAATTGTAGTAGGGATTCTTAATTGAATTTCTAAAATTCTAGGATTGTAAATTGAATTTGCAAAAATTCTATAATCAAAGTTTTTAGATAAATCGAACATTGTAAAAAACAAACTAAAAATTATTAAGAAAAAATAAATTTTGATTTTGTAGAATTAAATAAATCAAATAATGTTCTAGGATTGTAAATTGAATTTCTGAAAATTTGATATAATCTTGATAAATATTTGATTAAATTTATAAAATATTAGTTTAACTGTACTTACAATTTTTTTTCTAACATTTTTCTATTTAATATTTAAGTTAGTTAGTTAGGAATGAATGTTGCTTAGTTCGTTTCAAGTTCTTCAAATCCATACTTATCTAATTTTAAAAAGAACTCCTAATCCGTAACCACATGAATACGACATATATACATATATATATATATATGTATATATTTATGCCACGTATATAAGTAGCTTATTCTACTTCTTCTACTTCTTCTTCTTTTTCTTCTTCTTCTTCTTCTTTAAATCTTTGAGTACATAGATGATGAAACAGACTCTTGTTCTCTTTACATGTTAACATGTAATACGATATTTCCTGAGATCGTTAACACGGATTTTAAGATTTGTTTTTTAACAGAGACTGACATTTTAGATCTTACGTTTCTTACGTTACACATTATTTACTCGAATATTATATTAATGAACAAACACCTGTAATTTTTTATTATTCACTTTTTTCAATTTTCCTCTTTACAATATTTTTATTCGTCAATGTAAATTACTTTTTTCTTTTTTTTTTGTTTAATGTCATCAATTTTCTTTGAAAATATATATTGGCAACACGAAGGAAGGAAAGAAAAAACAACGAGTCATGAATTGTGGTTTATGTATTGCATTATCATAAAAATTACGCGGAAATAATGTTTGAAAAGAAGAGAAAAAATAAACGTGACGAATATACATATTGTGAATGAACACATACAGAGAAATACATACACATAAACATATAAATTATAATATTATGTATGTGTTAAAACGTGAAAGATCGAAATCTTCAAATTATCAAACAACATTTGGTTCATCCAACAATTTTTAAATTATCTAACAATTGTTTTTATTTAATTCATCGATCGAAGAACTTTTGGTACACCCTATATGTATATATATAATAGAAAAAAAAATGTAGGTAACACCTTAGAATTTTTCGATTGTTCAGAACGTGTAAAGTATCGGTAGCAGTATCAGTGCACGCTCCACTTATTTTGTGACACGCAAAGTTGAGACGTGTGTCGCGTGTAAATATATATATATATATATACATATATACAGGAATATAATACATATATGTAATACTCGTAACCTGTATTTTCTCGACGAATCGTTGCATTAGTTGTCTTTCTCATTTATCCTAGTTACCATTGGCTTGAAAGTACACGATTTTAAACAGGATAAAGGATGTATATTTTTATATTTCGATTAATTACGTCAAATTTACGTAGAATACAAAAAAAAAACATATATTGCACTAAAGGAAATAGGATTTTAAATTAAAAAAACAATTTACGGAAAGATTTTTATTCTTTTGTTCAAAAATATATTTACATTATAATAATAATAATAAAATACAAATAAATTAAATATATATTTAAAATAATATTTATTGTTATACTATTTTAAATGCAAACTAAGACGAAACGTCATCATTCTCAAATAATTTCTTCATAAAACAGAAAAAAAAAACACAAAAAGAAAAAGTAGCTTGGTAAGTGAAATAAAAAAAACAAAGGTTCAAGTTACGTTAGCGTGACGATCTAAAACGTCAATCAAAATTGTTCAATTCATGCACGAAAGTATAATCCCCGTTTTACCATTAGAAATAGTAATAGTAATAGTAATAGTAATAGTAATAATCGTAAAAATGAACTATCGTAATAGAACATCATTGTAATTTAACTTCGCGTATATTATTCGCACATTTGTAAGTAAAATAATACTTCGTTTAATGCATTACCTATTGCACACTCACACACACACACATATACACACGTGTTTTTCTCGATTATTATTATCCACTCTTAAATATATGATGATGGTTGCGTTACAGTAGTAAAACTTATTATGGTGAATGTGTTTAACGAAGCAAAACCAAACCAATTCGTTGAACTAACCGTAAAATCTATGTTACTTCATTTTTCTAATAATTTTTTCTATTTTTTTTTTGTTTTTCCTATAAATGATCTCATAATCAGTTAAAAACAATAAACTATTAAATATAATTATGATAAAATACTAAAAATAGATGTATGTGATACACACAGAGGTTTCCTTTCTATAAACTTTCACTCGAACGTACAATTATTTTTTATTATTTTTTTTTTTGAAGTAACTATCGACCAACAAACTAATATATAAGTTTAAATAAATAGAAAAAGTTGGATATATTATAAGACAAGAATGAAATCGAATCTGTGAAAGATAGGAGAACGTTTATAACTCACATCAGCAGGTTACGTGATACGTTTACAAGGTGTGTGCATAAAAATTATCCATAGCAATCTCGTATTACTTTGAAACTAAGTAGCACGTGACATTTCTAATCTCTCTTTCTCTGTTTAAACATTTCTTTCTATTTCTATTTCTCTTTCTCTCTTTTTTTTTTTTATACATTACAGACGTATTAGTAAAATGTAAATAGAAATAATTAATAAAAAACTCAAATCTTTTCTCATTCTTATAATCAATCTTTCTACACCTTGTAATCTGTGTTTAACTGACTGTATCATTAACGTGTATATATATATATTTTTTTTTTTTTCTATTATACGAGATTAGAAATTTATGTTACCTTCAATCATATGTTATTTTTTTGTTATTCTTGATTCATCGATTATCACAATTGGTATGATTTCATTCTAATGGCAAATTAATGGTTATTTTAATAGTAGATTTTTGCTAACAGTAGATAATTATTAGAAAATATGGTATTGCTTACTTCATCTCTTCTAAATCGATCGATTAGATTTCTGTAATTGCAGTTGTGCGTTTTAATCGTATGTAAATTGATTTGACTTTGCATTAAACAAATAGCTACTTGATTTCTTTTTTTTTCTCAAACTACGAACTAAATCATTCGTTTGTCAAATAATACATGATTTCTATTATAAATTTGTAGATTTATGATTGGATTAGAAAATATTATGATTTATGATCTTTATTTTTATTAATTATATTTTTAATAATTTTTTCAAGAAAATATAAAATAATAATACGTAAATGACGTTTTATTATATAGTAAGTAAGAAATTAGTAAGCGGTACGTGAAAGCAACTTGTAATTAGCGTAACGCAAATTATTTCGATTAGCAAAGTCCGTTTTAATTGTCTTTGAGGTGAATGAACTGGCTAACGGTCTAGGTGGTTCGTTGACAAGATAAGATAATAAACGATTAATTCGTATGAATACCATCATAGACTACGTGTTGCATCATTCATAACACGTACGATGTTTTAATAGAAAGAGACACATAGTAATATCATAAGAATATAATTTGTATAAATAGAAATATGTTTTTATATTTTTGTTTGGTTTTGATTTTGATTTTCAGAGAGATGTCACTAAATCAACGAAAGAATTTATCGATACAGAGCAGGTGACTAGTATGGTAGCTCGAGATGTCCACGACGACACTCGATTCGAGAAAATCACCACCAGCTCAACTCCTAAATCAACAACGATCGATTCAACGAGAAAAACTTCCCCAGAAAGACTTGGTTATCCACAAGGAATACCAGGAATTCGGGAAGACGATCGAACGAAACCAATTCCAGCTGCTGGAAAACCATCACGTCCACAGCAACCTGACAAAACTCAAACGGATGATTTCAAAAAGTAAGTTCTATGCAATTTAGGAGTATTCTTAAATATATATTTCATGTTTCAATTATTGACATTACTTTAAATTAATGATAATTGTTATTGATTTGTCAGGCCCGATGGAAAATCGCGAGATTATGTGTCACCAACTAGAAAACAGCAACCAATACCAGCAGCAGGTAAACCAAGTAGACCGAAAGAAAGATCACCGAGTCCGGATAAACCTGAGAAAGTTGTTAAATTGTTGATTCGTCCAGAGGATGATAAAACAGTTGAGGATAGACCCAGTCGACCAGAGGATAGACCAGCAGCAGGGAAACCAAGTCGTCCTGATGAAAGACCAGCTGCAGGAAGGCCGAGTCGTCCTGAAGAAAAACCAGGCTTTAAAAAACCAAGTCATCTTGATGAACCTGATGAAAGAACAGTCGAAGGTAAACCTAGTCGTCCCGATGAACCAGATAGAAGACCAGCCGCAGGAAAACCCAGTCGTCCTGATGAACCAGATAGAAGACCAGCAGCAGGGAAACCAAGTCGTCCTGAAGAAAAACCAGGCTTTAAAAAACCAAGTCATCTTGATGAACCTGATGAAAGAATAGTCGAAGGGAAACCTAGTCGTCCCGATGAACCAGATAGGAGACCAGCCGCAGGGAAACCAAGTCGTCCTGAAGAAAAACCAGGCTTTAAGAAACCAAGTCATCCTGATGAGCCTGATGAAAAATTAGTCGAAGACAAGCCCAGTTATCCAGATTCCAGACCAGCTGCTGGAAAACCCAGTCGCCCTGATGAACCAGATAGAAGACCAGCCGCAGGGAAACCAAGTCATCCTGAAGAAAAACCAGGCTTTAAAAAACCAAGTCATTTTGATGAATCTGATGAAAGAACAGTTAAAGACAAACCTAGTCGTCCTGATGAACCAGATAGAAGACCAGCTGCTGGAAAACCAAGTCGTCCTGATGAACCAGATAGAAGACCAGCCGCAGGGAAACCAAGTCGTCCTGAAGAGAAACCAGGCTTTAAGAAACCAAGTCATCCTGATGAGCCTGATGAAAAACTAGTCGAAGACAAGCCCAGTTATCCAGATTCTAGACCAGCTGCTGGAAAACCCAGTCGTTCTGATGATAAACCAACTGTTCCATTAAAACCCAGTCATTTAGAAGAAAAGCCAGGAAAACCAAGACGCGGTGATCAAACTCCGGACTCTTTAGATGAATCTGAAATAACACCAACACCATCGGAAATTATTTCGCGTATTCCATTGAAGGAACAGTGCATTTGTGAACTCTGTACTTGTGGGTAAGTACTATTAATTGTTTAATTTGAGCATTAAAAATAAAAACTATGATCCGACAGATTGACCGAGTTTCAAATAACATTTCTCTCTTAGTTTGAACTTGTACAAAAAAATATGTTCCCACAATTTAGCCGGTTAATCCTGGGGACACTGTGTATGTATAAATCTAGTGTCCTACTTTCATATTAACGTGTAAGTCTTAAACATGTGAAAAGTAGGACACCAGACGCAACCCTTTTATGGTAACTTGTTTCTTTTCGATCACCTTTCGCATTCGTGTTTCTTATTCAAGGCTCTTACTAGAGTATCACCCAGTATTCCAAGATGACAGAGTATATTTTTTAAAATGAATCATATTATTAATGTTTCAAAAATATACCGGGTAAGATTTTAGTGAAAAATTTTAAATATGTACTACATACACTTTTAATATTGAGATTAAAGAGATACAAAGTGAGAGTAAGAGAGAGAATGTGTGTGTGTGTGTGTGTGTGTGGTTCAAAGCAAGTATTGAATTTCATAATTAAAGGAAGACAGAGAGAGGAGAGAACTTTAAGCCAATTTCTAATACATGAGTAATAGGAAGAGAGAAAGGGGGGAGGGAATGGGGGATCCTATGGCTTTGGGCTTGGTTCTTCTATAGGATGCATACCATTAACGTTCTCATCATTTCGATTGAAGCTATCGTCTAACTTACCTGTCTATCTAACTCAGTCTATGATTAGAAATTAGAATATTTCCTAGATTTAAATATTCAATTCACTTTATATGTGTACTATCAGCCTTATAAATATATACATTTTTTAAATGTCTTTCTTCTTCTTTAAATTACATAAAAGTATAATATTATATATATATGACTAATGGGCCTTGAGAATAATGATTCGTACAGGTATCTCAAAAATTTGCATTTGAAATTGGTCAGACCGTGTACGACCATGCTCCTTTTTTTTTTTCTTTACACCATAAAAGGTGAATCCTTCTCGAAGGTTTTCGCGTGATACCAATAAGGATTTATGGATGAGATATGGGCGTTGGCTATTACGAAATCTACTCTCATTTCAATCAGATTTCTTCTAATATTATATAGTCATCGTTTATAAATATTATTATAAAAACAATGTTATATTTAATAATAATAATAATTATTATTTATTGGTAATATTTTTCAGACGTCATCGTTGTCCGCACAATTTGCCCCAAGATCATTTAGAAATTTCAAGGGATGAACCGGTATATATAGAAAGTTCCTATAGGGAAGAATTTAATGAGAAACACGTAGAGAGACAACACAGATACCACCATGAGGATCACCTCCACATGGAAGGTGAATTTGTAGGGGAGAGACGTAGCGATTACGTGGCCACTTATGGTGAGAGAGCACCTGTAAGGAAACCGCAAGACCATCTGAAACCCGAGGGTGAGTTTATTGGAAGGCCAAAGATAGAAGCACCGACTAAAGGTGAAAGGGCACCTATCAGAAAACCACAGGACAATCTTAAACCAGAAGGTGAATTTATTGGAAGACCGGAAGAGGAAGCACCTAAGTATGGCGAACGTGCTCCAGTTGTCAAACCAAAAGATAATCTCAGACCCGAGGGTGATTTTGAAAGTAAGTTATTATCGTTTAATATAATTATGCAAGTTGATTGTTCTTTTTTTTGTTTGTTAAATTAATTGCGCAATCATTTCGTTTAGGTTTGACCACAACAGAGCTGGTGTTTACCGGGGTACCCGGCGAACGACCAAGCCCAGTACGTCGCAACACGTACACCAAACTTGAGGGTGAATTCTTAGATGAAACAACAACTAGATCAGAATTTATTGATCATCGTACTATCCAACGTGCTGAAATTATTAGACGTACGGATAACCTCACCGTAGGAGAGGGTGAATTCACGGTAAATATTACAATTACGTTTTAATAAATAATTTAATTAAATTGAGAACGAATTTTTATAATTGTTTTTTGTTTTTTTAAATAACAGGGAACCTCCCACTTGAAAGAGGATTTCCATAAATACGATGTCGTTGAACGTGAACCTAGACGTCATCGTCCAGTTTATACGGAAGAGGATGATAGATTTTACAGTAAAACTGAGTTACATGAGAGTACAACAACTACGCATGAAGAATATAAAACATTTGATGAAACTGATTATCTGAATACTACTTATATAAGACGTGATGATAATTTGAGACCGGAAGGACCGTTTGATGGGGTGTCACATGTTAAAGATGATTACATTGTACCAGCAATAACTCATAGACCTGAACAGAAAAGACCTAAGGATAACTTGAAACCAGAAGGACCTTTCGAGGGACGTCCAAGGGATGATTATAAACCAACTCGTGGTGAGAGGGCTGATGTGAAACGTCCAGAAGATAATCTGAGACCAGAGGGACCATTTGAGGGACGTCCTAAAGATGATTATTCACCAAAACGTGCTGAGAGACCAGAAGTTAAAAGACCTGAGGATAATTTGAAACCCGAGGGTGTATTCGAAGGACGTCCAAGGGATGATTATAAACCAACTCGTGGGGAAAGGGCTGATGTGAAACGTCCAGAAGATAATCTGAGACCTGAGGGTCCATTTGAGGGACGCCCTAAAGATGATTATTCACCAAAACGTGCTGAGAGACCAGAAGTTAAAAGACCTGAGGATAATTTGAAACCCGAGGGTGTATTCGAAGGGCGTCCAAGGGATGATTATAAGCCAACTCGTGGTGAGAGGGCTGATGTTAAACGTCCAGAAGATAATCTGAGACCTGAGGGTCCATTCGAAGGAAGACCTAGGGATGATTATTCACCAAAACGTGCCGAGAGACCACAGGTTATTCGTCCGGAAGATAATTTACGACCAGAAGGACCATTCGAAGGGAGACCTAGGGACGATTATAAACCAACTCGTGGTGACAGAGCTGACGTGAAACGTCCAGAAGATAATTTGAGACCAGAAGGTCCATTCGAAGGTCGTCCAAGAGATGATTACGGTCCTAAGCGTGCAGAAAGACCAGAAGTAAAACGTCCAGAAGATAATTTGAGACCTGAAGGACCGTTTGAGGGAAGGCCAAGGGATGATTACAAACCTACTCGAGGTGATAGAGCAGATGTCAAACGTCCAGAAGATAATCTACGGCCAGAAGGT